TTGTATCACCTGTCACAGCCAGTGTAGCTGGGGCAGATGACTGCAGCTGTGAGGGTTGTGGTTGAGCTGGATGTCAGATCTAAAAGACAGGCACAATTTTCTTAACTGACAGAAATTATACAACTAAACAGAGTGAGTGAGGGAGTGAGTGTATGGGCCCGCGTAACCCTGTGTAGCTCAGTTGGTAGAGCATGGTGCTTGCAACGCCAGGGTTGTGGGTTCGATTCCCATGGGGGGCCAGTATGAAAAAAATAAAATGTATTCATTCACTAACTGTAAGTTGTTCCGGATAAGAGCGTCTGCTAAATGACTAAAATGTAAATGTGTGTGATTATTACTTATATCTCCTGTCACGGCCAGTGTAGCAGCAGGAAGGTGAAACATCACAGCAGACGACTGATGCTGTGAGGGCTGGGCCTGCGCTACCAGGGCTGGGTTGGTATCAAGAGCGAGGGGGAGTCAAAAACACAGACATGTCCATCTTCTTCTGGGATTTGTGTTTTTCCCAGTTGAGGGGAACAGGACGACAGCCTAGCTCGACATACTGCAGCCCAAATCTCTATCCTGTGTCCCTGTTGGTGACATGCATTGCTGGATACTTGGCCCACCCCGTCACCTTCACAGAGGCCATGTTCAACTCCGCCATCAGCAAACGGTCAAAAACAGCAGAAATGACCACATCAGGCTTCTTCAGGTCCACCAGCCTCTGGAAGTTCCAGCGTGCCACTCCAGTCATACCCTGGGCCTGGAACAGTTACCTGTTACCCACTGAGCCTGCTGGAAATGGTAGCCTTCCTGCTGAGAGGTGCCCCTGACAGGGATCCAGATGGGCACAGTTGCCCACTCACCTTGGATGTGATTGAGCAGCAGGGTTCCACCGTACCTGTAGAGGATCCCTTCCTCCACCTCAGTGTCATTCAGGCAGCCTCTCAGGATGTTTACCCGCTGGATTCTCCACACCAAGACATCGTTGGGGTCCTTGGCCAGGTGGAAGTGATGTAGGACATCTTCCACTCTCTTCACAAGCTCTCTTGGGTGTGGCACATTCCTTCTGCAGTGCTCCCGGATGTGCTGCTAGGTGGGGTTAGCAGAGACAGTCCCACAGAAGGTGTAGACCTCCTTCAGCTTCTCCATGTCAGCCTGTTCTGCCACAGTGAAGGCTGCGGACAGGAATTGCAGAAGGAGCTGCATAGTGGATGGTGCTCAGAGACACACTCCCAGGTGAACCGTCGCATGCAGTGGAACAAGTCCAGTTTGACAGCGATGTCATTGTTGTACTGGTGGACTTACCATTAGGCAGAAGAGGCAGTTGCCTCAGGCTTCACATCATCAGGGGCCTTGTGACATGGGCACAATTAAACAAAATAATACTAGTTTTAATAATAGGCCCCCTATTAGTGTGAGTCGTCAGGATACCTATTTACACATAAAGAGAAAAAAATAATGTGAAATTAATAATAGAAATGTCATATTTTCATTGCTTATTTAAACAAAAAGGTTTGCTTTAATATGGAAATTAGTTCCACTACAGCCCCATTCCTGTAGTCCACGATCAGCTCCTTTGTCTTGCTGACATTGACGGAGAGGTTGTTGTCCTGGAACCACACTGCCAGGTCACTGACCTCCTCCCTATAGGCTGTCTCATCATCTTTGGTGATCAGGCCAACCACCGTCGTGTCGTCAGCAAACTTAATGATGGTGTTGGAGTCGTGCGCGGCCATGTAGTTGTTGATGAACAGGGAGTACAAGACGGGACTAAGCACACACTCCTGAGGGGGCCCTGTGTTGAGGGTCAGCGGGGCAAATGTGTTGTTGCCTACCCTCACCACCTGAAGGTGGCCCGTCAGGAATTCCGGGACCCAGTTGCAGAGGGAGGTTTAGTCCCAGGGTCCTGAGGTTAGTGATGACCTTGGAGGGGACAATGTTGTTGAACGCTGAACTATAGTCAATGAACAGCATTCTCACGTATGTGTTACTCTTGTCCAGGTGGGAAAGGGCAGCGTGGAGTGCAATAGAGATTGCATCTTCTGGATCTGTTGGGGCGGTATGCAAATTGGAGTGGGTACAGGGTGTCTGGGATGTTGGTGTTGATGTGAGCCATGACCAGCCTTTCAAAGCATTTCATGGCTACAGATGTGAGTACTACGGGCGATAGTCATTTAGTTCAGTTACCTTCGCTTTCTTGGCTACAGGAACAATGGTGGACATTTTAAAGCAAGTGGGACAACAGACTGGGATAGGGAGAGATTGAATATGTCCGTAAACACCCCAGCCAGCTGGTGTGCACATGCTATGAGGATGCGGCTTGGGATGCCGTCTGGGCCGGCAACCTTGTGCGGGGTAACACGCTTAAATCTCTTACTCATGTCGGCAAGGGAGCACCCAGTCATCGTGAACGGCTGGGGACCACATATTTGATTTCCTTACGGAGGTCATAGCTGGTCTGTTTGTACACGTCCATGTTTTCAGTCACTTTGCCGTGGTTAAATGTGGTGGTTCACGCTTTCAGTTTTGCATGAATGCTGACATCTATCCATGGTTTTTGGTTTGGATAAGTTCTAATCATCAGAGTAGGAAGAACATCCTCTATGCACTTCCTGATGAATCCAGTCACCAAGTCAGTGTATACTAGTGTATCAATATTATTCTCAGAGGCGACCCGGAAAATTTTCCTGTCTGCATGATCAGCAGCATACCATCCTGCATCCCACTGCTGGCTTCCCTTTGAAGCTAAGCAGCATTGGTCCTGGTCAGTCCCTGGATGGGAAAACAGATGCTGCTGGAAGTGGTGTTGGAGGGCCAATAGGAGGCACACTTTCCTCTGGTCTAAGGAGTTGCCCCAGGGCAGTGATTTGGGACATTGCCCTGTGTAGGGTGCTTTCCTTCGGATGGGACGTTAAACAGGTGTCCTGACTCTCTTTGGTCATTAAAGACCCCAATTTGGCCCTCATACCATCATGGCCATCTAATCATCCACAGCTTCCAATTAGCTTATTCATCCTCTCTCCTCCCTCCTGTAACTATTCCCCAGGTCGTTGCTGTAAATGATCATGTGTTCTCAGTCAACTTACCTGGTAAAATAAGGGTTAAAAGGGTTACAAAAAAATCTTGAAGCACAGATTCCAATTGGTCAGACCAACGTTGAACAGTCCTTACCACGGGTGCTTCCAGCTTAAGTTTCTGCCTATAGGCAGGGAGGAGCAGAATGGAGGCGTGATCTTATTTGCCGAAGGGAGGGCGGGGGAGGGCATTGTAGCTGTCCCGGAACGGAGGGCGGGGGAGGGCTTTGTAGCCATCCTGGAAATGAGAGTAACAATGGTCAAGGGTGTTCTCTCCGCTTGTAGCACAAGAGATTATAGAATTTCAGGGAGCATTTTCTTCAGATTTCCTTTATTAATGTCCCCAGCTACAATAAATGCTGCCTCAGGATATGTGGTTTCCAGTTCGCACAAAGTCCAGTGTAGTTTCTTGAGAGCCGTCATGGTGTCGGCTTGGGGTGGAATATACACGGCAGTGACAATAACCAAGGAAAATTCTCTCAGGAGGTAATGCGGTCTGCATTTGATGGTGAGGTATTCCAGATCAGGAGATCAAAATGACTTGATTTCCTGTACATTACCACAATCACACCATGATTTAACAATGAGATATACCCCTCCACCTCTGTGTTTCCCGGAGGTTCCTTATTCCTGTCCGCGCGATGAACGGAGACGGGGACAATATATCTGGAGAGAGCTCCATAAAACAGAATATGTACAGTCTCTTATGTCTCTCTGGAAGGAGATCCTCGCCCTGAGCTTGTCTACTTTATTGTCCAGGGACTGAACGTTAGCGAGTAATATACTCTGAAGCGGTGGACGGTTTGCTCGCTGCCTGAGTCTGACTAGAACCCAACTTCTCCTCCCTCTTCTCCAGCATCAACGTTTTGGTGTAGCACCCGAATGAATGGGGCTGCCTCAGGAAGTTCAAACAAAGGATCCAGGTCAGGGAAGTTGAACTTCTGAACAAATTTCTGGTGAGTGACCACCGATCTAATATCTAAACGTTATTTTCAGCTGTAGGTAATAATTCTAGAAATTGTTATCATTATGTAAATGAATAATTAGGGTGAAAATTATGGGGAAATGTGCAAAATGTTCTATATATTTTATACTAGTTACGATAGAAAGAATAATGAAAAGTATTTCTATAAGATGTGATTTATTTGTTTATTTTTTCAAGCCTAAATGGTCAACAATGTTTTTTGTGTTTGTACTCCTATCATTTACTGCACCCCACATAATTGCCTGTATCGTGTCACAGTAAAAGTGGATCCATTCTACTCAGGAGCACTTTCAGTTGCCAAATCCAATATGAAAAACATGCTGAACATTGTGCAATACAAATGGGCTAAATAACAATGGGATTGAAATGTGTTTTCTAACATTTATAATACTTTGTATTAATATGAATATGAATAGTATTATTATAAATAATGTTTTGTTATTTGTATTACTTTTAATAATAAGGCTATTAACAATTTTCCTTTTTTGACATTGTTAAACAAAATTCTGCCAACATTTCCTAATAAAATGTGGTCCTCTGTAGCTCAGCTGGTAGAGCACGGCGCTTGTAACGCCAAAGGTAGTGGGTTCGATCCCCGGGACCACCCATACACAAAAATGTATGCACGCATGACTGAAAGTCGCTTTGGATAAAAGCGTCTGCTAAATGGCATATTATTATTATTATTAAAATGTTACGAATTTCGACCATTAGTGTGATTTTTTACAATTTTCATTGCAGGACTTTTATTTTGAAGGGAAATCGCCGAGGTCACTGATTTATTTTTGCTAGGTCCTGCTTATTCTTTCTGGCTTTTAAATATACATTCCTTCACCTTAGCAGGGCATAAAGTTGCGTTATACCGTTATGCTGATGTAGTCGATCATTTGACCAATGACAACAGCTGTGATGGGCCGGGCTAAATGTTTAACCCGGCCCACATTTAACCTCTCCCGGTTCCGCGGTACGCAGCGAGGACTATCTCGCGCTCTTTGCAATCTGCGCCAGGTACCCCCCTATTCCGGGATTGCGAGTACTATCACACCAGTAATTATCAACAGCAAAAGAGAATGCCACAACGACTAAACATTAGTTAACCTGGTTCCCAGGAACCGTTTTCTGGCTGGACCGTCGTGACAGTAGCGTGTGTGTGAAGATGGCGACTGGAACGGGTTGGCAGCAACCGTACAATACCGCATCGGGCAATCCATGTATTATTACCAGTACAGGGAAATATAATTCATGGAACATGTTTTACGAGGCAGGTTTAACGATGGAATATACTCAAGACCTGCATCTGAAAATGAGTAAGAAAATAGCACAATTGACGAAGGTTTGTTGATGCGCACGTTTTCTTCTTGCAAGCTGTCACAGTACAGGCTCATGCGTTTATTTGTCCTGCTGGCAATGGAAATTATGTAATTCACTATAGATTCACCTAGGCTACAGTGTCTGTGTGATATGATTAGCAGAATTTAGTAAAGGCTACGTTGTTACAGTGAAAATCACACTGATGCTGAAGAAAAGCATTTAAATGTCCCTGGTGGAGTGGTCACTCATCGCTAAGGAAATATACAATTCAATGTTATTGTTGTCCTACCTAGGAATACTGTCATTCTGTTGAGGGCTGATACATTTGTGAACAGCAGGAAATACATTGTTTTACATAATTCCTGAAAGATGGTCTGTTATTATATCCTGTATGGATTAAATAGTCATTCCATGTCATCTACAGTAGGCCATAAAAACATTTAACTGACAGGATATTACTTTTGAATTGTTGTTTTCTGTTACTAGCCTTCAGAAAGTATTCACACCCCTTGACTTTTTCCAAATGTTGTTGTGTTACAGCCTGAATTTAAAATGGATTAACTTGAGATTGTGTGTCACCTGATCTACACACTACCCCATAATGTCAAAGTGGAATTTTGTTTATAGATTTTTTACAAATTAATTAAACATGAAAAGCTGAAATTACTTGAGTCCTTCCTAACTCAGTTGCTGGAAAGGGAGGAAACCGCTCAGGGATTTCACCATGAGGCCAATGGTGATTTTAAAACAGTTACAGAGTTTAATGGCTGTGATAGGAGAAAACTGAGGATGGATCAACAACATTTGGGGCAAACGCAACACATCACTGAGTACCACTCTTCATGTTTTCAAGCATAGTGGTGGCTGCATCATGTTATGGGGATGCTTGTCATCGGCAAGGACTAGGGAGTTATTTAGGATAAAAAGAAACGTAATAGAGCTAAGCACAGGCAAAATCATAGAGGAAAACCTGGTTTTGTCTGTTTTTCAACAGACACTGGGAGACAAATTCACCTTTCAGCAGGACAATAACTGAAAACACAAGGCCAAATATACACTGGAGTTGCTTACCAAGATGACATTGAATGTTCCTGAGTAGCCTAGTTACAGTTTTGACTTAAATTGTCATGAAAATCTATGGCAAGACTTGAAAATGGCTATCTAGCAATGATCAACAACCAACTTGAATGAGCTTGAATAATTTTAAAAAGAATAATGGGCAAATATTGTACAATCCAGGTATGCAAAGCTCTTAGAGACTTACCCAAAAACACTCACAGCTGTAATCGCTGCCAATCATGTAGCTGTAATCGCTGATTCAAACGTATTGACTCGGGGTTAAAAATGTATCTAATCAAGATATATTAGTGTTTTATTTGTCATGATTTTTTTTTAAATCTTAGAATTTTTCTTCCACTTTGACATTAGAGTATTGTGTGTGGATCGTTGACAAAAAATGACAATTCAATCCATTTTAATCCCACTTTTAACTTATAACAAAATGTGTAAGAAGTCAAGGTGTGTAAATACTTTCTGAAGACACAGTAAAGATTTTCACTTACCACAGACCGATATATTAATAAGGGGAATTCCATCAAATATACAGAACTTTTGTCTAATACCTTACTATAAGTACTGTAAAAACTGGATAATATTTGGTGTAATTATTGGTATCTTCATTGTAATGGAAAATTGTGAATTATGCAGTAATATTTTGTTTTATCAAAAGTAAAATACTCTGAAACGTTTTACTGCAGCATACTGTAAATGATGGTGTATTGTTGGAAAATGTTGTGGGTGGGGAAAGAATTGCTATATTTTGAATGGCACTGTAATTCCACCCCACAGAATACAGTACCTTACCGTATATTTGGAGCGCCAAAAACCTTTTGACCACTAGTGGGTGCATGGTATTGTTGTTTCCGGCTCATTAAAATATTTTCAGGTGTGCCTTGTAAGAGGATATATTTGTTACACCCGTGAGTGAGAATGCTGTACCAATTTAACTCCTATGTGGTTATAGTTCCCCATCAATTTAAAATGTATAGGGGACAGATTGGAGTGGCAGCAAGACTTAAACCTTAAATGGTTGAGCATTTTGCTGTGTCCTTTTGGTCTGTTTTGTCCTGTAGTTGCTGCCAGTTTGGAAGCCTTTGTTAAGGCCTCTAGAAATGCAAGTGGTACAAAACACCAAATATTCTGTAATGTTTGTTAACACTTTACCTAGCAGCCAGCCAACCTGCTTGCACCAATCCCTTTTAATTACAGTAAAATACAGTGAAATAAAAATCCTTTAATTTATTCATCAATTCTTTCATTCATTCCGATAGCATTTATTTTTTTATTTTTTTACAGTATAATACAGTACATTTTACAGTATTATACTGTGTGTCATTACACAGTACTTGCTTTGATACCGTATTTATATTACAGTAAGTGTACTGTAATATGAAATACAGACTATTTCTGCCACCGAGCTGCCTGTAAGCTACTGTCAAATTCCAGGTAACCCCTTTACAGTGTTTTTTATGCAGCACCCACCAACAAGCTGCTTGCTTGGCTAGTGGGAATGTCCTGAGCCAGCATAGAAAGGATTAAGAAAGGATTAGGAAGTGTATCCTCCTCCGCACATCCTCATACCCATATCATGTTAACACTATACTTGAACCCTTTGACATTAGGCCTAAAAACGGTCATAAAAGTGGCGTAAGATGTCGTTAACAGTCATGACTGATGATGACTGACTTTGGCAAGTTGACACCAGCTATCATAGCTGTTTTCTGTTGTTCAGTGTTAAGACAATGTTGTGTGTAGCCTTTATGACTAAGCATTCAACTAAAGCGAACATTTATGTAACAATATCTAATTTCATGTCCTCCAAAGCTTTACTGATCAAACTCTCAAACTAATTCTCAAAATGCATCATGAGGGCAATTGTTCTGATGCTATTCAACCAGTGCCAGTGGGGTACACATTACATGTATTCTGTGGTTGTATAGATGAAGGGCAGGGTCATATTCATTAGTGCACAACAAACCATTTTGCAAAGTTCATGTAGTCCCTCCCATTTTCGGTCCATTTTCTGTCGTTTGGTATCTAGTGAATACCACCCTGGTGACTGGAATCAATACAGATAATTATATCCCTTACTGTTCTGCAGAAATAATACAAATGGCGCCATCTGAAAAACAATGCTTCCTTGTTAGTAGTAAGCCATTGAGATCTTACATAATACAGACATTGGGTATCATTATTGTGGAAACCCTCCACAACTGTTTTTTCTGCTGAAAAGGGGAATAATCTTTCCCTCATCTTTCCATATTTGGCTTGTATTCAATAACTTGACACTAGTTTTACCAGATATACACTACATTACCAAAAGTATGTTGACACCTGCTCGTCGAACATCTCATTCAAAAATCATGGGCATTAATATGGAGTTGGTCCCCCCTTTGCTGCTATATCAGCCTCCACTCTTCTGGGAAGGCTTCCCACTAGATGTTGGAACATTGCTGTGGGGACTTGCTTCCATTCATCCACAAGAGCATTAGTGAGGTCGGGCACTGATGTTGGGCGATTAGGCCTGGCTCGCAGTCGGCATTCCAATTCATCCCAAAGGTGTTTGATGGGGTTGAGGTCAGGGCTCTGTGCAGGCCAGTCAAGTTCTTCCATACCGATCTCGACAAACCATTTCTGTATGGACCTCGCTTTGTGCACGGGGGCATTGTCATGCTGAAACAGGAAAGGGCCTTCCCACAAACTGTTGCCACAAAGTTGGAAGCACAGAATCGTCTAGAATGTCATTGTATGCTGTTGCGTTAAGATTTCTCTTCACTGGAACTAAGGGGCCTAGCCCGAACCATGAAAAACAGCCCCAGACCATTATTCCTCCTCCACCAAACTTTACAGTTGGTACTATGCATTTGGGCAGGTAGCGTTCTCCTGGCATCCGCCAAACCCATATTCGTCCGTCGGACTGCCAGATGGTGAAAATGTGATTAATCACTCCAGAAAACGCGTTTCCACTGCTCCAGAGTCCAATGTTGGCCGACGCTTGGCATTGCGCATGGTGATCTTAGGCTTGTGTGCGGCTGCTTGGCCATGGAAACCCATTTCATGAAGCTCCTGACGAACAGTTCTTGTGCTGACGTTGCTTCCAGAGGCAGTTTGGAACTCAGTAGTGAGCGTTGCAACTGAGGACAGACTATTTTTATGTGCTCCAGCACTCGGCAGTCCCGTTCTTTGAGCTTGTGTGGCCTACCACTTCGCGGCTGAGCCATTAGTGCTCCTAGATGTTTCCACTTCACAATAACAGCACTTACAGTTGACCGGGGCAGCTCTAGCAGGGCAGAAATTTGACACGCTGACTTGTTGGAAAAGTGGCATCCTATTGCGGTGCCACGTTGAAAGTCACTGAGCGCTTCAGTAAGGCCATTCTACTGCCAATGTTTGTCTATGGGGATTGCATGGATGTGTGCTCTATTGTATACACCTGTCAGCAACGGGTGTGGCTGAAATAGCCGAATCCACTAATTTGAATGGGTGTCCACATACATTTGTGTATATATAGTGTACAGTGAGGGAAAGAAGTATTTGATCCCCTGCTGATTTTGTACGTTTGCCCACTGACAAAGAAATGATCAGTCTATAATTTTAATGGTAGGTTTATTTGAACAATGAGAGACAGAATAACAACAGAAAAATCCAGAAAAACGCATGTCAAAAATGTTATGAATTGATTTGCATTTTAATGGAGGAAATTAGTATTTGACCCCTCTGCAAAAGATGACTTAGTACTTGGAGGCATAACCCTTGTTGGCAATCACAGAGGTCAGACGTTTCTTGTAGTTGGCCACCAGGTTTGCACACATCAGGAGGGATTTTGTCCCACTCCTCTTTGCAGATCTTCTCCAAGTCATTAAGGTTTCGAGGCTGACATTTGGCAACTCGAACCTTCAGCTCCCTCCACGATTTTCTATGGGATTAAGGTCTGGAGACTGGCTAGGCCACTCCAGGACCTTAATGTGCTGCTTCTTGAGCCACTCCTTTGTTGCCTTGGCCGTGTGTTTTGGGTCATTGTCATGCTGGAATACCCATCTACGACCCATTTTCAATGCCCTGGCTGAGGGAAGGAAGTTCTCACGAATGATTTGATGGCACATGGCCCCGTCCATCGTCCCTTTGATTTGATGCGGTGAAGTTGTCCTGTCCCCTTAGCAGAAAAAGACCCCCAAAGCATAATGTTTCCACCTCCATGTTTGACGGTGGGGATGGTGTTCTTGGGGTCATAGGCAGCATTCTTCCTCCTCCAAACACGGAGAGTTGAGGTGATGCCAAAGAGCTCGATTTTGGTCTCATCTGACCACAACACTTTCACCCAGTTCTCCTCTGAATCATTCAGATGTTCATTGGCAAACTTCAGACGGGCATATACAGGATCTCACAAAAGTGAGTACACCCCTCACATTTTTGTAAATATTTGAGTATATCGTTTCATGTGACAACACTGAAGAAATGACACTTTGCTACAATGTAGAGTAGTGAATGTACAGCTTGTATAACAGTGTAAATTTGCTGTCCCCTCAAAATAACTCAACACACAGCCATTCATGTCTAAACCGCTGGCAACAAAAGTGAGTACACCCCTAAGTGAAAATGTCCAAATTGGGCCCAATTAGCCATTTTCACTCCCCGGTGTCATGTGACTCGTTAGTGTTACAAGGTCTCAGGTGTGAATGGGGAGCAGGTGTGTTAAATTTGGAGTCATCGCTCTCACACTCCCTCATACTGGTCACTGGAAGTTCAACATAGCACCTCATGGCAAAGAACTCTCTGAGGATCTGAAAAAAAGAATTGTTGCTCTACATAAAGATGGCCTGGGCTATAAGAAGATTGCCAAGACCCTGAAACTGAGCTGCAGCACGGTGGCCAAGACCATACAACAGTTTAACAGGACAGGTTCCACTCAGAACAGGCCTCGCCATGGTCGACCAAAAAAGTTGAGTGAACGTGCTCAGCGTCATATCCAGAGGTTGTCTTTGGGAAATAGACGTATGAGTGCTGCCAGCATTGCTGCAGCGGTTGAAGGGGTGGGGGGTCAGCCTGTCAGTGCTCAGACTATACGCCGCACACTGCATCAAATTGGTCTGCATGGCTGTCGTCCCAGAAGGAAGCCTCTTCTAAAGATGATGCACAAGAAAGCCCGCAAACAGTTTGCTGAAGACAAGCAGACTAAGGACATGGATTACTGCAACCATGTCCTGTGGTCTGATGAGACCAAGATAAACGTATTTGGTTCAGATTGTGTCAAGCGTGTGTGGCGGCAACCAGGTGTGGAGTACAAAGACAAGTGTGTCTTGCCTACAGTCAAACATGGTGGTGGGAGTGTCGTGGTCTGGGGCTGCATGAATGTTGCCGGCACTGGGGAGCTACAGTTCATTGAGGGAACCATGAATGCCAACATGTACTGTGACATACTGAAGCAGAGCATGATCCCCTCCCTTCGGAGACTGGGCCGCAGGGCAGTATTCCAACATGATAACGACCACAAACACACCTCCAAGACGACCACTGCCTTGCTAAAGAAGCTGAGGGTAAAGGTGATGGACTGGCCAAGCATGTCTCCAGACCTAAACCCTATTGAGCATCTGTGGGGCATCCTCAGACGGAAGGTGGAGGAGTGCAAGGTCTCTTAACATCCACCAGCTCTGTGATGTCGTCATGGAGGAGTGGAAGAGGACTCCAGTGGCAACCTGTGAAGCTCTGGTGAACTCCATGCCCAAGAGGGTTAAGGCAGTGCTGGAAAATGATGGTGGCCACACAAAATATTGACACTTTTGGCCCAATTTGGACATTTTCACTTAGGGGTGTACTCACTTTTGTTGCCAGCAATTTAGACGTGAATGACTGTGTGTTGTGTTAATTTGAGGGGACAGTAAATGTACACTGTTATACAAGCTGTACATTCACTACTTTACATTGTAGCAAAGTGTCATTTCTTCAGTGTTGTCACATGAAAAGATATACTCAAATATTTACAAAAATGTGAGGGGTGTACTCACTTTTGTTGCCAGCAATTTAGACGTGAATGACTGTGTGTTGTGTTATTTTGAGGGGACAGCAAATGTACACTGTTATACAAGCTGTACATTCACTACTTTACATTGTAGCAAAGTGTCATTTCTTCAGTGTTGTCACATGAAAAGATATACTCAAATATTTACAAAAATGTAAATGGTGTACTCACTTTTGTGAGATACTGTATATGTGCTTTCTTGAGCAGGGGGACCTTGCGGGCGCTGCAGGATTTCAGTCCTTCACGGCGTAGTGTGTTACCAATTGTTTTCTTGGTGACTATGGTCCCAGCTGCCTTGAGATCATTGACAAGATCCTCCCGTGTAGTTCTGGGCTGATTCCTCACCGTTCTCATGATCATTGCAACTCCACGAGGTGAGATCTTGCATGGAGCCCAAGGCAGAGGGAGGTTGACAGTGCTTTTGTGTTTCTTCCATTTGCGAATAATCGCACCAACTGTTGTCACCTTCTCACCAAGCTGCTTGGCGATGGTCTTGTAGCCCATTCCAGCCTTGTGTAGGTCTACAATCTTGACCCTGACATCCTTGGAGAGCTCTTTGGTCTTGGCCATGGTGGAGAGTTTGGAATCTGATTGATTGATTGCTTCTGTGGACGGGTGTCTTTTATACAGGTAACAAACTGAGATTAGGAGCACTCCCTTTAAGAGTGTGCTCCTAATCTCAGCTCGTTACCTGTATAAAAGACACCTGGGAGCCAGAAATCTTTCTGATTGAGAGGGGGTCAAATACTTATTTCCCTCATTTAAAATGCTAATCATTTTATAACATTTTTGACATGCGTTTTCCTGGATTATTTTGTTGTTATTCTGTCTCTCACTGTTCAAATAAAACCTACCATTAAAATTATAGACTGATCATTTCTTTGTCAGTGGGCAAACGTACAAAATCAGCAGGGGATCAAATTCTTTTTTCCCTCACTGTATCTGTCAGACACCATACTGACGCAATTTCACCTATATAAACTCTGAGTGAGGCCATATCATTGCATAGTGTTTCATTTGTGTTAGGAAGTTGACACGATTCTGTATGAGCCAGATGTTCACCTTGGATTGAAAAATCGATTTACACATCTTATCCAAATCTATTTGTTTTTGCATGATGAGGACAGTCACAAAGAAATTCCTATCTCAGCAAAATGAATGAAAGAGGATGTATGGAGTATGTTCGTGCTCTGTTCACATCTTGGGATGTGTGGTTGCTGTTTGATGATGCACTCATGTTTTGGAACAGTGCCCCATTGGCCTCTCTTATTGACAGAGACCCACAATGCCCATCACTTAAAGAGATAACCTAATGTGATCTGAGAAAAGTTTGATGTCCTCTGATGCTCTGGCCTTGCTCTTTCTCGGGATGTATTCCAAATGGCACCCTATTCCATATTTATCACACTACTTTTGAAAAGTAGTGCACTATAGAGGGAATAGGGCGCCATATGGGATGCAGACTTGGTTTCTGTCGCTCTCATTCATACATACTCACTCACATAAACACTCCCACATACCTATGTACTAACATACATACTCATGTACACACACACTGGTACACACTCCTCTGGCATACTTTCAACAACACTACCCTTCTCATCGTGTGTCAGAACAGCTTAATGTGATTATACAACCAATCAATCAAAACTAGCTAATGATCTCAGTCGTAAACACATTGGATTAATTAATGTTTTGCAGGGGGGTAGAGTTGAATGTTAGTCTTAGTGGAAGGAAAAGTCTGCAAAACAGTGAGTCTGCCCAGTAGCAGTGGATTTCCTGGGAAATAAAAACATTTAGGATGAATTTATGATCATTCAGAACAGTTGACACATGGCTGCAAGATTCGGCATTGAAGCAAGTCCTTTGAGCAGCAGTAGAAAGCCAATCAGGGAATTTAGTTATGGAGTGACCTGGCAAAAGTGAGGAATGTAGCACAAATCAGCAACATCGTAGATGAGGTAAACAGGCAGAGCCATAAGGGTGTGTTCATATCTAAAGCTTTTGTTTTTAATTAACAATTTCCTAATTTGTTAGTTATGTGTCATCTATGATTTACTAACTTTGATTAGATATTCATCACAATCTCTTTTGATGCTGTAAGGATCCTTAACTCTATCCTCATATTTTTCCTCTTCCTTCTCTTCTTGCTCTAGGTTATCTACGCCCTCAACACGAAGAACGACGAGCATGAGGACGAGATGGAGTCGCTGCGGGAGGCCCACGAGGACGAAGTGCAGCACATTGTGACGGAGACACATGACAAGATCATGCAGTATAAGAGCAAGATGGTCGACGAGGTTGACCTGAAGCGCCGTCTGCAATCGCTGGAAGAGTCGGTGGAGCTGCACGAGCACATGAAGCGGCAGGCACTGGCTGAGTTTGAGATGTACCGCCAGCGCATGGAGGACTCGCAGCTGTGCACCGAGGCGCAACACACGCAGCGCGTGGTCTCCATGTCACGCGAGGTGGAGGAGATGCGCCGCGACTTTGAGGAGAAGCTGCGCTCCTTTGGCCAGGCACAGGCCCAGTTCGAGCAGGACAAGCGGCGGGCCATTGACGAACTACGCGCCGCCCACCGTCAAGAGGTCCAGGAGTTGCTCCACAGCCAGCAGAACCAGAGCGCCAACTCCACTGTGGATCAGGAGAAGCTGGCTGAGCTGCACAGGGCCGAGGTGGAGGCCCTCATGGAGCGGGTGGAGGAGCTTACCAAGGGCAAAGTACGTCTGGTGGAGGAATACGAAGCCAAGCTCACCAAGGCTCAGGGCTACTACGAACGCGAACTGGAAGCCATGAGGCGCACACAGCAGCTGACTGCCGAGAAACTGCTGGCCTGGAAGAGGACGGAGGTGGAGCTGAGGAAGGAGTTCCAGGTGCAGGAGGCGGCGCTCCAGAGGACACTGGGAAAGCTCCGGGCTGAGCTGCAGAGGGCACAGGAGGAGGCGAGAGAGAGCAGGGACAAGACCAACAGGCTGCAGGCTTCCCTCACCAATGCAGAGGGCATCATTAAGGTAAAATTCTTATGCATATTCATGTGTGCGTTTTTGTGTCTACAGCCCTGTTTGTATATGTTTCCGGTATGATTCATTGTACATTGGTATAAATGCCTACACGTAGAAGCGAGAGGATTTGCAGGCAGAGACAAATAAATGGGTTATCAATATTTATCCTATTTCCAGACAATATAGCCTATAGCCCAGGGCTGCCCAACCCTCTTCCTGGAGATCTACCGTCCTGTGGGTTTTCAGTCCAACCTGATTCTACTTATTAGCTGCTCAACAAGACCTTAACTAGCTGAATCAGAGTTGGACTGAAAACCTTCAGGACAGTAGATCTCCAGGAAGAGGGTTGGGCAGCCCTGCTATAGCCGAATCATATTTTGGAAGTTAATTTCCTTGGAAAGATATCTGCCCCTGTGCTCCTCCTTCCATTCATACACATGTATCCTACTCTATTCAATTGAGACCACACAGGCGTACTCGATCTCGCACGCCCATTAAGAGAGTAGACACTTGACTTAAGCTATGTTTGGCATATACTGTACCTTTTAGGAGCTGGACGATTTGCAGGCAGAGACAAATAAATGGGTTATCAATACTTATTTCCAGACAATGTAGTAAACTATAGCCAAATCATATTTAAGAAGTGAATTTCCTTGGAAAGAACTAAACTGCCCTGTGCTTCTCCGCCAATGCATATAGCCTACTCTATTTAATTGAGACCACACATATAGGCACACTTGATCTCGCATGCCCGACTAGGAGAGGAGAGTAGGGTACTGAACTTCAAGCATCGAATGTTGAGAGTTTGTGAATAGTGCGGTCTGACCGCCAGCTCCTGCCTGCAGCATGAAAAATGTAGATTGTGCCGCAATAATGTCTGTCTGGGCCTGCGGTATCCGCAAGAATGCAGCTCTACCTGGAGCTCTGGAGTCCAGAGTACTGATGGTTCTCTTTTATCCCTGGTAGTTTATTGATTGATTCATGTCACTGATTGGCCAGAGATTCCATTTACCAGCTGTGAAATAATAATTGATTATATGGGAAGAATGAAAACCAGCAATACTTTTGACCTCAAAAGATTTGACAAACTATACTACAGTACTACAAACTAAACTACAGTATTAAAGCGTTCTTGTTGCTGTTCCTTGACCTGATCCTTGACCTGATGTCTCAGAACTTGCACAAGCAGCTGGAGGAAGCCATCCAGGATGGGGAGATCTGGGTGATGCAGCTGAAGGACACGGAGTATGAGCTGGAGGGGAGCCGAGATCGAGTGCAGCAGCAGGCTACTGAGATCCTCCACAAAGCCAGTGAGATATTAAACCTCCATTTTGCTTGAGGGTTTGGATAGAGAATACTAATATGCATTGCTAATTGGCATAATGCTGCCTGTTGGTTTGTAACTGTACGTTTTCCTGGCATAGGGGGGGATAGTGAATATAAGCTTGTCTGGCCAGATAAAAGAACATGTTCTTTTTTGACGAAAGAAGCCTATGTACGTTTTCTTTCTTTAATAGTTTTTTTGTGTGCTTATTTTTTCCCCCTTATTCGCACAGGACTAGTATTACTAGAGAACATTGGTTATGTAATTATTACCCCAGAATATCTGTTATTCCAGAGGACGATTTGTACGGGATAGTTTTTTCCAAACTGCCCCCTGTAATTCAATATATATATATATATAATTTTTTATTTTAACCCCTTTTTCGATCTTGTCTCATCGCTGCAACTCCCAAACGGGCCCGAGTCATGCGTCCTCCAAAACTTCACCCGCCAAATCGCGCTTCTCAACACCCGCCCACTTTACCCAGAAGCCAGCCGCACCAATGTGTCAGAGGAAACCCCATTCAACTGACGACCGAGGTCAGCCTGCAGGCGCCCGGCCCGCCACAAGTAGTCGCTACAGCGCGATGAGCGAAGTATAGCCCCCCAGGCCAAACACTCCACTAACCCGGACTACGCTGGGCCAATTGTGCGCCGCCCTATGGGACTCCCGATCATTGCCGGTTGTGACACAGCCTGGGATCGAACCTGGGTCTGGAGTGACGCCTCTAGCACTGCAATGCAGTGCCTTAGACCGCTGCGCCACTCGGGAGGCCCTTTCTAATGTTTTTCAATAAATTGCCTGGGTTTTTATTGTAGGCGTAAAGATATTTCAACATGTCCTGGCGATAACAGGCTACACTGATAACTCGAGCTTGGCTCCCAAGTTTCTAAACCATACCAAAACCATCTTTGCTATAGTGTCGCCATACTATTTGAATTGAGGAAGTGTGATCATAATCATTATTTCAGCGATCCGTAGTGGACATCCTAATTGCCCCCCAGCCTGCAGATGTGAGCTAAACAGTGCACTAGCACTTGAGATGTTTTTGCCGATGTTCAATTTATTGGCACAAAACGTATAAACAAAGCATTCACTGCGAAAGTTGATACATGTAAGCATACAACATTTATCGAATCAGTTATTGTTTTCTTGCTCAAACACTTGCGCACAACACCTGTCAAACTCCGACATTTCTCTCAAAATACAGGGATGTCGATTCGCACAGGACTAGTACTATCAAAGGACCTTGGAGTTAGTCGAAAAACCTTTTTTTTTCATTTGGAATTATTACTCTCCTGCTATGTAAAAATGACCGACATGGCAGATTCAGATGGGACTTGAATTACGGATGTGGTGATTTGTGCTCGTGTATCTCCCCCAGTAAAACTAATCTTGTGCGAATACGTCTAAGCTTGGCTGGTCAGATAAGAGAACATAATATTTTTTTTACCAAGAGGGATAGGCTGAAAAAATTAAGTGGGGCAATGTGCTTTTACCTTTGAGAAAAGGTTGTTATGCAGATTGACAAGGGTTATTCGAGGCCAGTTTGATCAGCCTTTTATATTCTCCATCAAAGTGCCAAGTCCTTCTTCATTTTGTACTTCACTTTGCAGTGCTTTGAATAATTAATGCAGTAAAAGCAGTAAGACATTGTTGGAAAAAAATCATTGTTTTATTTAACTTTTAAGCTAATTTAGCACTTTACTTAACTTTACAGTGAGATTTTAACCACAAGGACACTTCGTGGACTTTTGAGTGCTGGCTCAGTGTTCATCCCACTTTCGAATATTCTGACAGAACAGATGTTCAGTGTCTGATATGAAGCATTGCCCATTTAACTTCCCTTTCTGGCCATGTGTGCCTCCAGGTCAGATAGGCTCTCTACAGGCCACCCATATGAGCCACGAGGCCACAATCAGGGACCTAGACTTGGAACAGAGCCGCCTGAGGGAGAAGATCCTCAGGCTGGAGGAGGAGAGGGAGAGCCTGCTCAACCAGAGCCAGGCCACCGACGAGCAGCACAAACAGCAGGTCCTCTCCCTGGAGCAGGTATTCAACTTCTCTCAGTTTGTAAGATGTGCTGAATTTATCTTTAGCTTCTCATAGTGTCTCAGTGTTTAGTAGATCCGGACACTGGGAAAACAGTGGGAAGTTTCACAGATAGCAAGCATATATTTGGCAAAAAACATTATATACAGTGGGGAGAACAAGTATTTGATACACTGCCGATTTTGCAGGTTTTCCTACTTACAAAGCATGTAGAGGTCTGTCATTTTTATCATAAGTACACTTCAACTGTGAGAGACGGAATCTAAAACAAAATCCAGAAAATCACATTGTATGATTTTTAAGTAATTAATTTGCATTTTATAGCATGACATAAGTATTTGATCACCTACCAACCAGTAAGAATTCCGGCTCTCACAGACCTGTTAGTTTTTCTTTAAGAAGCCCTCCTGTTCTCCACTCATTACCTGTATTAACTGCACCTGTTTGAACTCGTTACCTGTATAAAAGACACCTGTCCACACACTCAATCAAACAGACTCCAACCTCTCCACAATGGCCAAGACCAGAGAGCTGTGTAAGGACATCAGGGATAAAATTGTAGACCTGCACGAGGCTGAGATGGGCTACAGGACAATAGGCAAGCAGCTTGGTGAGAAGGCAACAACTGTTGGGGCAATTATTAGAAAATGGAAGGAGTTCAAGATGACAGTCAATCACCCTCGGTGTTGGGCTCCATGCAAGATCTCACCTCGTGGGGCATCAATGATCATGAGGAAGGTGAGGGATCAGCCCAGAACTACATGGCAGGACCTGGTCAATGACCTGAAGAGAGCTGGGACCACAGTCTCAAAGAAAACCATTAGTAACACACTACGCCGTCATGGATTAAAATCCTGCAGCGCACGCAAGGTCCCCCTGCTCAAGCCAGCGCATGTCCAGGCCCGTCTGAAGTTTGCCAATGACCATCTGGATGATCCAGAGGAGGAATGGGAGAAGGTCATGTGGTCTGATGAGACAAAAATAGAGCTTTTTGGTCTAAACTCCACTCGCCATGTTTGGAGGAAGAAGAAGGATGAGTACAACCCCAAGAACACCATCCCAAACGTGAAGAATGGAGGTAGAAACATCATTCTTTGGGGATGCTTTTCTGCAAAGGGGACAGGACGACTGCACCATATTGAGGGGAGGATGGATGGGGCCATGTATTGCGAGATCTTGGCCAACAACCTCCTTCCCTCAGTAAGAGCAATGAAGATGGGTCGTGGCTGGGTCTTCCAGCATGACAACTACCCGAAACACACAGCCAGGGCAACTAAGGAATGGCTCCGTAAGAAGCATCTCAAGGCCTAGCCAGTCTCCAGATCTGAACCCAATAGAACATCTTTGGAGGGAGCTGAAAGTCTGTATTGCCAAGCGACAGCCCCGAAACCTGAAGGATCTGGAGAAGGTCTGTATGGAGGAGTGGGCCAAAATCCCTGCTGCAGTGTGTGCAAACCTGGTCAAGACCTACAGGAAACGTATGATCTCTATAATTGCAAACAAAGGTTTCTGTACCAAATATTAAGTTCTGCTTTTCTGATGTATCAAATACTTATGTCATGCAATAAAATGCAAATGAATTACTTAAAAATCATACAATGTGATTTTCTGGATTTTTGTTTTAGATTCCGTCTCTCACAGTTGAAGTGTACCTATGATAAAAATGACAGACCTCTACATGCTTTGTAAGTAGGAAAACCTGCAAAATCGGCAGTGTATCAAATACTTGTTCTCCCCACTGTATATTGATTGGCATGGCATTGTCAAAGGTTGTTAGCTGTCATTTTGCCAATATTTATGCAACTGTGGAATTCTGTTTTCGATGATGCCAATGTTTGCAGAACGTATGCTTGCGTTCTAGGTTAGCTGTCCCCTCAGGCAGGTACCCGCCAGGGAGCAAGTACAAAACAGAAGAGTTCTGTATCTCAACCCTTTTCTTATTATGTAATATTCATTGTAGATATTGATGCTGGGCCAGATACAGTGAAACATCTCAAGTTTCACAGTAGATCCAAACAACGGGGGAAGTTTAGCGAAGAAGCTTAGCCCTTCTATCTTATGTTTAAAACCCCCTAGAGTCGATTTCCGTGGCCCCATGGAAATCGAATTAGCATAATACAAATATTTCAGTTTAAGCTAGAGATATCAGTTTTTTTGCATTGGATGCGTCTCAATCCACCGCATCCACCGATGTCGCACTTCCGCATCTGCGGTGAAAGGTGACAGCGCTAGAGCGGTCTTTGTCAAACCATCAGACATCCCACATATCGGTCTTCTTACAAAATCGTCTTTAGCATCTGCACGGTTTGGCCTATTATGACCCCTCTGTGGAAAGATGAGACTCTCGCGAACACGATGGTGTTCTCTGTTTTGCTCTAGGGCACCCACAGGCCTCACAAGACTCGTCTGAAGGTCCCCCCGGTACCTGTTGAAAAAATGAATGGAAGTACTGTATGACTGTATATGGAGACCGTAAGCTGCCAAAAAAAAGCGGTTAAATACTGTACATGTAATTTTTTAAAACAAAAATAACGATTCAGAACAAATTTCCTTTAGATTTTTTGGAGGACTCTCAGTTGTACCATGTAGTGAATCTGTTATTCAATGCATTTGTATGGGCTTGTCATCAAATCAGTTGTTTTTGATAGCCCCCTAGGGCTTAGACTGTAGATTTATATATATTTTTTACATTTAGTCATTTGTGGCAATGGTATGACAGATGGCAGATGCAATAGTTGATACATGTTAGCGATCTGACCTCCCAGCTAGTGGTGAAATTAAACAGAAATTCCAATTAAATAATTGAAAAAAATGCTATTTTTATTTCTCAAGAAAGCGAAAAGGAGAAATAACTTCCCAACCCTGATTGTCTGGCAAACCCTCTACATCTCTATCTTTATTCACACTGCATATATGAGGTCAAACTCCTGGGATTTATTTGCATCTGATAAAATAACGATACAATGTCCCGGCAGTTATTTATTGGCAAGATACACAATATATACAAATGTATGTGGACATCCCTTCAAATTTGCGGATTCAACTATTTCAGCCACACCCGTTGCTGACAGGTGTATAAAATCAAGCACACAGCCATGCAAACTCCATAGACAAACATTGGCAGTAAAATGGCCTTACTGAAGAGCTCAGTGACTTTCAAAGTGGCATCGTCATAGGATGCCACCTTTCCAACAAGTCGGTTCGTCAAATTTCTGCCCTGCTAGAGCTGCCAGGTCAACTGTAAATGCAAGGAGAAACTACAGCTTAGCCGCGAAGTGGTAGGCCACACAAGCTCACAGAACGGGAGTGCTGAAGGGCTTAAAAATTGTCTGTCCTCGGTTGCAACACTCACTAACAAGTTCCAAACTGCCTCTGGAAGCAACGTCAGCACAATAACTGTTCGTCGGGAGCTTCATGAAATGGGTTTCCATGGCCGAGCAGCCGCACACAAGACTAAGATCACCATGCGCAATGCAAAGCGTTGACTGGAGTGGTGTTTAGCATAGTGCCAACAGTAAAGTTTGGTGGGGGAGGAATAATGGTCTGGAGCTGTTTTTCATGCTTCGGGCTAGGCCCCTTAGTTCTAGTGAAGGGAAATCTTAACGCTGCAGCATACAGTGACATTCTAGGCGATTCTGTGCTTCCAACTTTGTGGCAACAGTTTGGAGAAGGCCCTACTTGTTTCAGCATGACAATGCCCCTGTGCGCAAAGCGAGGTCCATACAGTGAGGGAAAAAAGTATTTGATCCCCTGCTGATTTTGTACGTTTGCCCACTGACAAAGAAATGATCAGTCTATAATTTTAATGGTAGGTTTATTTGAACAGTGAGAGACAGAAGAACAACAAAAAAAATCAGAAAAACGCATGTCAAAAATGTTATAAATTGATTTGCATTTTAATGAGGGAAATAAGTATTTGACCCCTCTGCAAAACATTACTTCGTACTTGGTGGCAAAACCCTTGTTGGCAATCACAGAGGTCAGATGTTTCTTGTAGTTGGCCACCAGGTTTGCACATATCTCAGGAGGGATTTTGTCCCACTCCTCTTTGCAGATCTTCTCCAAGTCATTAAGGTTTCGAGGCTGACGTTTGGCAACTCGAACCTTCAGCTCCCTCCACAGATTTTCTATGGGATTAAGGTCTGGAGACTGGCCAGGCCACTCCAGGACCTTAATGTGCTTCTTCTTGAGCCACTCCTTTGTTGCCTTGGCCGTGTGTTTTGGGTTCATTGTCATGCTGGAATACCCATCCATGGTTCTCATCCAAGAGGTTCTCATCCAAGATTTGACGGTACATGGCCCCGTCCATCGTCCCTTTGATGTGGTGAAGTTGTCCTGTCCCCTTAGCAGAAAAACACCCCCAAAGCATAATGTTTCCACCTCCATGTTTGACGGTGGGGGTGGTGTTCTTGGGGTCATAGGCAGCATTCCTCCTCCTCCAAACACGGCGAGTTGAGTTGATGCCAAAGAGCTCCATTTTGGTCTCATCTGACCACAACACTTTCACCCAGTTCTCCTCTGAATCATTCAAATGTTCATTGGCAAACTTCAGACGGGCATGTATATGTGCTTTCTTGAGCAGGGGACCTTGCAGGGCGCTGCAGGATTTCAGTCTTTCACGGCGTAGTGTGTTACCAATTGTTTTCTTGGTGACTATGGTCCCCGCTGCCTTGAGATCATTGACAAGATCCTCCCGTGTAGTTCTGGGCTGATTCCTCACCGTTCTCATGATCATTGCAACTCTACGAGGTGAGATCTTGCATGGAGCCCCAGGCCGAGGGAGATTGACAGTTATTTTGTGTTTCTTCCATTTGCTCATAATCGCACCAACTGTTGTCACCTTCTCACCAAACTGCTTGGCGATGGTCTTGTAGCCCATTCCTGCCTTGTGTAGGTCTACAATCTTGTCCCTGACATCCTTGGAGAGCTCTTTGGTCTTGGCCATGGTGGAGAGTTTGGAATGTGATTGATTGATTGCTTCTGTGGACAGGTGTCTTTTATACAGGTAACAAGATGAGATTAGGAGCATTCCCTTTAAGAGTGTGCTCCTAATCTCAGCTCGTTACCCGTATAAAAGACACCTGGGAGCCAGAAATCTTTTTGATTGAGAGGGGGTCAAATATTTATTTCCCTCATTAAAATGCAAATCAATTTAGAATTTTTTTTACATGCGTTTTTCTTGATTTTGTTGTTGTTTTTCTGTCTCTCACTGTTCAAATAAACATACCATTAAAATGATAGACTGATCATTTCTTTGTCAGTGGGCAAACGTACAAAATCAGCAGGGGATCAAATACTTTTTTCCCTCACTGTACAGAAATGGTTTGTCGAGATCGGTGTGGAAAAACTTGACTGGCCTACACAGAGCCCTGACCTCAACCCCATCGGTCATGTAGTGTACATAGTTTATGATTTCTTTAGCGGAATTTTAAAAACATGTGGTTCCACTAGTAACACTGCATAAACTGCTGTGCTATGATGAAGGTGGACCATCTGCTCTCCAAGGGGAGGGTACATTCATCTATTAGATTTCAGCTGTGGTTCATTTCATTACAGCCATCACATGTACATTTTTCATGTGTCTTTTGCCCCCCCCATGACAAGTCCCTTCGTGAGGAGAGGCAGGGCTATGAGAAGGAGCTAGCAAGGCTGAGGGCCAAATATGAAGAGGAGGCTGTGAGATTCAAAGAGGCCCAGGCACAGGCCCTGGAGGAGCTGTCGGAGAAACACAGGGCGACGCAGGAGAGTGCACAGAACGCTGCAGAGAAGGAGAAGAATCTATTGATGGCTGTGAGTATAGTGCACCCACACTGCCCTACACACTGTTGTATACACACTATTTAATACACTATCCATGCTACACTCTGTACACACAACACACACGGACACATGGACACAGACACACAGACACACGCACACACACACACACACAACCATACTCAAGCCCAGTGTTTATTCATACATTCATATACACAATGAACTGAGTACACACCCCCATACCTACAGTACATATATTGCCTTCAGAAAGTATTCACACCCCTTGACTTTTTCCACATTTTGTTGTGTTAGTCTGAATTTAAAATGGATTAAATTGAGATGTTTTGTCACTGGCCTACACACAATACCCCATAATGTCGAAGTGAAATCATGTTTTTCAAAATGAATACAAATGTATTAAAAATTAAAAGCTGAAATATCTTGAGTCAATAATTATTCAACCCATTTGTTATGGCAAGCCTAAATAAGTTCAGGAGTAAAAATTAGCTTAACAAGTCACATAATAAGTTGCATGGACTCGCTCTGTGTGCAATAATAGTGTTTAACATAATTTTGAATGACTACCTTATCTCTGTACACCACACATACAATTATCTGTAAGGTCGTCCCTCATTGGAGCATTGAATTTAAAACAGATTCAACCACAAAGACCTGGGAGGTCTTCCAATGCCTCACATAGAAGGGCACCTATTGGTAGATGGGTAAAAATAAAAAAAGCAGACATTGAATATCCCTTTGAGCGTGGTGAAGTTATTAATTACACTTTGGATGGTGTATCAATACACCCAGTCACTACAAAGACACAAGCATCTTTCCTAACTCAGTTGCCGGAGAGGAAGGAAACCACTTAGGGATTTCACCATGAGACCAATGGTGAATTTAAAACAGTTACATATTTTAATGGCTATGATAGGAGAACACTGAGGATGGATCAACAACATTGTAGTTCCCTTTTAGTCAGTCAACTTCTGTACAACATACTATGGGGAGTCATACTCTCGCGACTTCGGTTGAAGGATCTACAATCACTCCTGACAAGGCCAATGAAATCTGCACCTTGCTGGAAGCCCCGCCTTACACAGGTGATAAGCGAGAGGCTCGGATTCATTCCTTCAATTATTCCTCTCTTCACCTTGGTGTGAACGGTAACGATTCACGCTACTAAAACAAACAATTGGAAAATGAGACTGTCATACGTTGCTCCAACTAAACTGTCCCATAGTGGTAGAACGTGCTCACCCCCTGGACGTTGTGTGCTAAAGGTTGTACTTGTTCTCATACGTTTTCTAATCATATGCCCCCTGTCTTGCGGTTATAGCATTTCTCTGAAAGATACTCACAATCAATGTATAGTTTGTCTCAGCTTGGAGCATGCTCAGGCGGCGTTCACTCGAACCAGTCCGCCTGTACATTGCCACTTACTGCATACAAACTCCCTGGAAAGACGTGTAGAATACTTGAGAAAGCTTGTAATTTCCGATGGCGACTTTCCTTTCCCGGATGCCGTTACCTCGGCTGGGACCGAAGTGCAGGAAGTGGAGATTGATTGGGTGGTCGGAATGAATGTCTTGTCTGCCTGGGCGTGGGGTATTCGGTGGCTGCCTGCGCCCAACCTGGCTCCTGTGCGCTCTGTTGCCTTTTACGGGAGGCTACTCGAAGAGAGAGGGCGGCCAGGTTTGGTAGGTACCACCCGCCACCTGTGTCTGCCTCGGTCAAGCACCGCTTGCCTCTCTTCCCAGACTTGTTGATGAAGAGTCCGGTCCCACCCCAGTGATCCAGTCCTATGTGGACTTTCGAGACTGGGCTAGCTAAACAAGAGCTGCTTAGTGTGTCGAGCTAGCAATTACTAGCTATTCCTGCCTCTCCACGGTGAGGTAGCTCTCTTGTTTAGTATATGTAGCGTTAAGTCGCTTGGTTATTCTAAACGGACCGTGCTGCGGTCAAAGAGGCTAGCTAGCTAGCCTAGCTTATGCTAAAAAGCCTCCTGGCTAACGTTGGCTAGCATGCGTAACTTCCGGCAAGTGAAACTTACTAGCTTTCCCCCGGCGTTATAGCAACCCTATTCCTATTTTCAGTTCCGGGAGTTGGAGGGAGTGAAGGAAACGGGGTTGCGTGCACCTCCGATGAAGAAGCAGCCCCTCGAGCACTTGGCTGGGGTGATCCCCGCAGCAACGTCATGGCTAGAAGGGATCCAGCTTTTGTCTAATTTACATCAGATTTGAGGTTTCATAGCAGGTTAGGAACATTTTTCCGGAGCAGTTTAGGATAATTAATGTAGTAGGTTAGGAGAATTAGGTTGAGGTTAGGAAAAGGGTTAGGGTTAGCTAAAATGTTAATTTGACAAAAGCTGGATCCATTCTAACTATGACCCCGGATCAAGGGGCTTTGGTATGGGTATTACGTGGGTACTACGTCAGCCATTGCCAGAGCCCCCTGTGCCCGTAAAGAGGCCGTGCTTCATGCAGGCTATACAGTCTCACGGAAGCACAATGTACACTGAGTATAAAAAACATTAGGAACACCTGCTCTTTCCGTGACATGGACTGACCAGGTGAATCCAGGTTAAAGCTATGATCCCTTATTGATGTCACCTGTTAAATCTACTTCAATCAGTGTAGATGAAGGGGAGGAGACGGGTTAAAGAAGGATTTTTAAGCCTTGAGACAACTGAGACATGGATTGTATGTGTGCCAGAGTGTGAATGGGAAAGACAAAAGAGTGCCTTTGAACAGGGTATGGTAGTAGGTGCCAGGTGCACCGGTTTGAGTGTGTCAAGAACTGCAACACTGCTGTGTTTTTCTCAACAGTTTCCAGTGTGTATCAAGAATGGTCCACCACCCAGAAGACATCCAGCCAACTTGACACATTTGTGGAAAGCATTGGAGTCAACATGGGCCAGCATCCCTGTGGAACGCTTTCGACACCTTGTAGAGTCCATGCCACGACGAATTGAGGCTGTTCTGAGGGCAAAAGGGGGCGCAACTCAATACTAGCAATGTGTTCCTAATGTTTTGTACACTCAGTGTATGATGGAAGCTTGTCCATGTTTAATGCTGCCCCCTCTGTTACCCCGTGTTCCACGGTGTTCACAGAGTTCAAAGGGGTATATCAATCTCCCCAGGGTGAGATTGACAAGTTGGGTCACTGTCCACAAGGGGGCACTCCTCCCCCATAGGTTTCTCATTCCTGCCTGTAGCTCACTAGTCCCTATGAGGTGTCTAGTGATACAGGTTATGGGCTCTGTAGGCGGTTAGTTGTTGGTAGCGGAGTCGAGGGAACGAGCAGGGTTGGACACGACCACTGTCTGACTCCAGCTCAGCGCATTCCGTTGCTGGGTCTCGAGCTAGACTAACTCAACGTATCACGCTTTTCAATCCCCACGGAGGGTGTCTGGGTTCCGGCTCTTCTTAGCCAAATTTTGGCTGGTTCACACAGTGCATTTTCGCCAGTGCCTATGCCTACTGGGGATGATGGCTTCTGTGATGGAAGTCATTCCCTTGGGGCTATTATTGATACAGCCCTTCCAGCGCTGAGTGCTAGGCACTAAGCCTGTCGCTTCGGGTGTCCCTGTCAGGACTACGGGCCATGGCCCAGTGGTGGGACCCTCTGCTATTGTCAGGGGTCTCCCATGGGCTGAGTTGTGTCCCACAAGGTGATCACGACAGACGCATCCCACGAGGGTGGGGTGCGCTGTACGAAGGCAACTCGATTCGGGGTGTATGGACACTGGTGCGGCACGCTCTGCATGTCAATTAACCGGATTATCTGGCGCTTCCCCGTTTTTGTAGGGCCGGCTTGTTCTGGTCAGAACAGACAAATATGTCAGTGGTGGCGTGCATCAACAGATGGGGAGAGACTGTCTCTCTCCCTCCTAACCTTGGCTTGCTCCCTATTGCTGAGGAGCAGTGCGCACATGCTTTCACATTGGGTGTCGCATGTCCCCGGTTGCCTCAACTCAGGTGCAGATCTTTTATCTAGGTGGGACCCTCTCTCTTAGGAGTGGAGGCTCTCCCAGGTAGGGGACATTTTCAGCAGGGCCGACGTACACTACCGGTCAAAAGTTTTAGAACACCTACTCATTCAAGGGTTTTTCTTAATTTTTACTATTTCCTACGTTGTAGAATAATAGTGAAGAAAGACATCAAAACTATTAAATAACACCTATGGAATCATGTAGAATAATAGTGAAGACATCAAAACTATAAAATAACACCTATGGAATCATGTAGTAACCAAAAAAGTGTTAAACAAATCAAAAATATATTTTATATTTGAGAATCTTCAAATAGCCACGCTTTTCACACTATTGGCATTCTCTCAACCAGCTTCATGAAGTAGTCACCTGGAATGCATTTCAATTAACGGGTGTGCCTTCTTAAAAGTTCATTTGTGGAATTTCTTTCCCTCTTAATGCGTTTGAGCCAATCAGTTGTGTTGTGACAAGGTAGGGGGGGGGTATACAGAAGAGAGTCCTATTTGGTAAAAGACCAAGTCCATATTATGGCAAGAACAGCTCAAATAAGCAAAGAGAAATGATAGTCCATCATTACTTTAAGGAGGAAAACCTGTTTAGTCTGCTTTCCACCAGACACTGGGAGATTCACCTTTCAGCAGGACAATACCCTAAAACACAAGGCCAAATCTACACTGTAGTTGCTTACCAAGAAGACAGTGAATGTTTCTGAGTGGCTGAGTTACAGTTTTGACTTAAATCTACTTGAAAATCTATGGCAAGACCTGCAAATGGTTGTCTAGCAATGATCAACAACCAATTTGACAGAGCTTAAAGAATTTTAAAAACAATAATGGGCAAATGTTGTACAATCCAGGTGTGGAAAGCTCTTAAGAGACTTAACCCCAAAAACGTACAGCTGTAGTCACTGCTAAAGGTGCTTCTACAAAGTATTGACTCAGGGGTGTTAATACTTATTTAAATGAGATATGTCTGTATTTAGACACAGATGGTGAATCATAGTGCCTGTAGCTTGTCTTTACATTTACTTAGTCACGTGTGGGGGTTGGAATTTGACATCCTTTTTATAAGACGTCTATGTTATTTTCATAAATACAACAGATTTTTAAGGAGCACATAAACAGTAAGCCAATGTTACATAAATGCCACAATTCAGTTTCCAATTGAGCTCAATTTGTCATGTTCAAGAAAAATATACAGTACCAGTCAAGAGTTTGGACACACCTACTCATTCAAGGGTTTGTCTTTATTTTTACTATTTTGTACATTATAGAATAATAGTGAAGACATCAAAACTATGAAATAACACACATGGAATGATGTAGTAACCAAAAAAGTGTTAAATTCTTCAAATACCCACCCTTTGCTTTGATGACAGCTTTGCACACTCTTGGCATTCTCTCAACCAGCTTCACCTGGAATGCTTTTCCAACAGTCTTGAAGGAGTTCCCACATATGCTGAGCACTTGTTGGCTGCTTTTCCTTCATTCTGCCTTCCGACTCATCCCAAACCATCTCAACTGGGTTGAGGTCAGGGGATTGCGGAGGCCAGGTCATCTGATGCAGCACTCCTTCACTCTCCTTCTTGGTCAAATAGCCCTTACACAGCCTGGAGGTGTGTTGGGTCATTGTTCTGTTGAAAAACAAATGATAGTCCCACTAAGCACAAACCAGATGGGATGGCGTATCGCTGCAGAATGCTGTGGTAGCCATGCTGGTTAAGTGTGCCTTGAATTCTAAATAAATCATAGACAGTGTCACCAGCAAAGCACGCCCACACCATAACACCTTCTTCTCCATGCTTTACGGTGGGAAATACACATGCGGAGAATATCCGTTCACCCACATCGCGTCTCACAAAGACACAGCATTTTGAACCAAAAATCTCAAATTTGGACGCCAGACCAAAGGACACATTTCCACCGGTCTAATGTCCATTGCTCGTGTTTCTTGGCCCAAGCAGGTCTCTTCTTATTATTGGTGTCCTTTAGTAGTGGTTTCTTTGCAGCAATTCAACCATGAAGTCCTGATTCACACAGTCCCCTCTGAACAGTTGATGTTGAGATGTCTGTTACTTGAACTCTGGGAAGCATTTATTTGGGCTGCAATTTCTGAGGCTGGTAACTCTAATGATCTTATCCTCTGCAGCAGAGGTAACTCTGGGTCTTCCATTCCTGTGGCGGTCCGCATGATGGTTTTTGCGACTGCACTTTTTGGCAAAAGTTCTTGAAATGTTCCGGATTGACTGACCTTCATGTCTTAAAGTAATGATGGACTGTCGTTTCTCTTTGCTTATTTGAGCTGTTCTTGCCAAAATATGGACTTGGTCTTTTACCAAATAGGGCTATCTTCTGTATGCCACCCCTACCTTGTCAGAACACAACTGATTGGCTCAAATTAACTTTTAACAAGGCACACCTGTTAATTGAAATGCATTCCAGGTGACTGCCTCATGAAGCTGGTTAAGAGAATGCCAAGATTGTGCAAAGCTGTCATCAAGGCAAAGGGTGGCTATTGAAAGAATCTCAAATATATGTTTATTTGTTTAACACTTTCTTGGTTACTACATGATTCCATAGGTGTTATTTCATATTTTTGATGTCTTCACTATTATTCTACAATGTAGAAAGTAATCAAAATAAAGAAAAACCCTTGAATGAGTAGGTGTGTCCAACCTTTTGACTTGTACTGTATATGTAAGAAATTAACAGCAAAGCTCCTCTTACATGAATACACATTGTTTTTAATTAGGTTGATGTAAAGCCTTGATTCAACCCAGTGCTCAATAAAGTAGTCCTCACTGAGGATTTCATTTCTTCCCCGATAAAAGCATACTTAATATAAAGATGACTAGACACGAGGCCCGCTGGGTTATGTAAGCTCACAATCACGTCTCTATTGTTCACCAAAGCTCTGTCCCTCTCTCTCAAGTTAAGCACATAAATGTCAATGACTCTCAGGCATATTAAAGTTCTACTTCAAACAGCAGTCTCAGTTATATAATCTATAATTTTTATCAAATGAAAATGTGCCATTTTAGATTAAACGTTTTAATGAAATATAGACCGACTAGCCCTATATTCTTTAAGTATTTTACATTCATCAGCCTTGCGATTTCCAGTGCTCCTGAAAAGTCGTTATTTCATTGGGGGCGGGAATTGAAAACCTAGACGACGAAAGTTGCAGCTGTCCGGTATCAATGTGAGATCAGTTAAATCACCTGTTTGTTCTTGTGGGTTTTGCATTGCAATCAAGGTTATTTTAGCATGATGATGCATGTAACCTCCCATAAATATGTGTTGAGAAAGCCAGTGCTAACACAGTGCTCAGTGCAAAGTTCAGCTTCTTTTGTTTGATCTCAAACTCACCTGGGTATTGACCATCACTTTAGGAAATGGGGCAGGAGTTTGAGATTCGGCGACTCTCATTGGAGGAGCAGAAGAACTGTCTCCAACAGCAACTGGACAACCTGAAGGAGGAGCTTTCTGCCAAGCTCAACATAGCCAATCAAGAGGTAAGGAAAGTCTTTGACACAAACCAGGTTTCCATCCAATTATGTGAGTAAAGTATCTGTCAGATAAAAAAACTCACGACAGGTCAGATGAAAACTGTCAAATTGTCAGTACATTTCCTAAACGTCGACAAAACAAAATAGGCTAGACAACGTCATTTATTTTGTCATTTAGTTAGCGACAATTTGTGTGGTACTCCCAACCTCGATAAAAGCATCAGTACTAAGATAAATAATTATGAGAACTTCACGGGTGGAAGTACACAATAGATTCATGTATTTGTATGCTTGACTTATGATCGATACTGTGACAAAACAAATTATTTTGCTCTTCATAACTATCTGTAGCCTCCTCTGCCCTGTATCTGAGCTGATGGTAAAGAGCATGCAAGTCGGCAGTTTGCGTTTTCGAAACTTTTGTCAAACCATGATAGTTAAAAAGGATGAAACGCATAGAATTTCATTTGAATGAAAAGTATGACATGCTTTTGTGCGCTACGTCCTACCACGGCATTTGATTTCGGACGCCAGTTGAGGAATGCTGCTGCTGGTAAAATGTGCATATTCTTTTGTGCGAATAAAATCTTAAATCTTTCCACAAATTGATGGGTGATTCTTAAAGTCCATAGCATTTAATTATGTAGCTCATTACAAACTTACTCATGAACGTAACCCTTGTGTTCTCTGTACTGTACTCAGTGCAGCGTATACATTTGGAAACTAGCTAGCAACTGTATCTACGATTGATTATGAACGTACCAGTCTGTCAAATAGACATTCTGAAAATTCCAACACCAATGGCATGGCAAGGGTTGCAAAGCTACCGGTAATTGACTAAAGTTACCGCAATCTCAGTATTCACAAAAATAAGGCATCAATGACTTGAAACTCTTATCCTTTTAAACAGTATTTAGGTTATATCGTGTCCTTGCTATTTTCAAGTAGATACACTTCAGGGTCAAAGAAAATACCAATTAATAAAAAAGCATCTACAACATGCATATTTTCATTCCTCTGCTTGTCCATATGTTTTTCTGAACGGGTTGACTGCAAACATACAACAAAATATATTGACATAACTCAGCAATACGTCCTTTTAGGACCCTGTCTTCAAAGATTCGTAAAATCAATAACTCACAGATCTCATTGTAACGGGTTAAACAATGTTCCATGCTTGTGATGAACCATAACATTATGACATGCACCTGTGGAACGGTCGTAGGTAATTAAGGTCACAGTTATGAAAACTTAGGACACTAAAGAGGCCTTTCTACTGACTCTGAAAAACACCAAAAGAAAGATGCCCAGGGTCCATGCTCATCCTCATGAACGTACCTTAGGCATGCTGCAAGGAGGCATGAAGACTGCAGATGTGCCCAGGGCTATAAATTGCAATGTCCTTACTGTGAGACGCCTAAGACAGCGCTACAGGGAGACGGGATGGACAGCTGATTGTCCTCGCAGTGGCAGACCACGTGTAACAACACCTGCACAGGATCGGTACATCCGAACATCACATCTGCGGGACAGGTACAGGATGGCAACAACAAGTGCCCGAGTTACTCCAGGAACGCACAATCCCTCCATCAGTGCTCAGACTGTCCGCAATAGGCTGAGAGAGGCTGGACTGAGGGCTTGTAGGCCTGTTGTAAGGCAGGTCCTCACCAGACATCACTGGCAACAACGTCGCCTATGGGTACAAACCCACCGTCGCTGGACCAGACAGGACTAGCAAAAAGTGCTCTTCACTGACGAGTCGCGGTTTTGTCTCACAAGGGGTGATGGTCGGATTCGCGTTTATCGTCGAAGGAATGAGCGTTACACCGAGGCCTGTACTCTGTAGCGGGATCGATTTGGAGGTGGAGGGTCCGTCATGGTCTGGGGCGGTGTGTCACAGCATCATCGGACTGAGCTTGTTGTCATTGCAGGCAATCTCAACGCTGTGCGTTACAGGGAAGACATCCTCCTCCATCCTGACATGACCCTCCAGCATGACAATGCCACCAGCCATTCTCCTCATTCTGTGTGTGATTTCCTTCAAGACAGGAATGTCAGTGTTCTGCCATGGCCAGCGAAGAGCCCGGATCTCAATTCCATTGAGCATGTCTAGGACCTGTTGGATCGGAGGGTGAGGGCTAGGGCCATTCACCCCAGAAATGTCCGGGAACTTGCAGGTGCCTTGGTAGAAGAGTGGGGTAACATCTCACAGCAAGAACTGGCAAATCTGGTGCAGTCCATGAGGAGGAGATGCACTGCAGTACTTAATGCAGCTGGTGGCCACACCAGATACTGACTGTTACTTTTGATTTTGACCCCCCCCCCCCCCTTTGTTCAGGGACACATTATTCAATTTCTGTTAGTAACATGTCTGTGGAACTTGTTCAGTTTATACAAATATTTACACATGTTAAGTTTGTTGAAAATAAACGCAGTTGACAGTGAGAGGACTTTTTTTTTTTTTGCTGAGTTTAGTAAAATAAATAAGTGTGAAAAAAATTATATAAAGGATATTTAATGCTGAAACCCTCATATTAAACACCAATGGTATTCACAAAGTTAGTTGATGGTTTATATTTAGGATAATGTTTTACAGCTTTGTCATTTTATTATTTTTTGTTTTAAAACATCATATGTAGTTATTTCATATATTTTGTGATAAGGCCACACAGAGGGCCAGAGATCATTAGACACGTGTGATAATCTGAAGTACCCAAAACAGCCACTAGATGTCCTGTGATAGATTACATAAAATCCTTAAAAAGATACAACAATTCTGGTAGTTTGCTGGTATACCCTCCCCTTTGCAACCCTAGGCATGGCCATTCCTCTCTGTCACTCCTACCTGATTGGTCCTTGAGTTGCACGACATCTGACCTAATTTCCCGTCCACTGCAGGTGTCTCACCTTCAGGAGTTGGTGAAGGAAGGGGAGCAGAATCTTGGATCTGCACACAGCCACATCTCCAGTCTGAAGGACACCCAGGAGAAACTATGCATTGAGCTGGACACCACCAGAGCCAGAGTGAGAGAGACCAGCAACCTGCTCACTGACCTGCAGGTAAGGCTTCTTGTGCCTTATGCTCAGATCTACGATCAGCTTCCCTCACCAAATCCTCACACACTAATATGTGCATACCCTCAAATTCTATTACAAAATGTCTGATTAATTTACTTCCAGTTAATTTAATTCCTAAATTAACACTAGGTAACTGCTGCTTTACTCATACTCCCTGGTATTCTCTTACTCTGCTCAATAAAATCACAAATCTGAAATACAGAAATCATGGCAAGATATAATAATATAATAATATAATAAGATATCAACTATGCCACTACTGTACATGTAAAATGGGAATACCACATACATGCACAAATATTCCTATATAGGTACAGTTTAAAACATTCTCACACCTATCTTTTTAAATTAATCAGATTACTCAAACTCTTGATGTTAAAGTTTAAACACTGAGGTAAACACTAATGCTCAGGCACTATTTAAAAGGAAGATCTATGTAGACCCCTTCTTGCCTTCTAAAGAATCATCAAATAACCTTTTCTTCCAAAAACGGTTCTTAGGATGAAAAAGGTTCTTAAAAAGAACCGTTGTCTTCCAAAAAGGGTTCTTCAAATAGGCTAGTGGCAAAGCCCTCCTAGAACAAAACACAAGCATATTTTTTCACATCCCTATTGTCTCACAAAGTATATGAAATGAATGGCTGTGTAAAACTATTTTACTGCAAAAGTGGTTACATTTATAGATATTGTGAAACCCTAAACTGAAAACGTGCAGAATAATACCTGGCTGGAAGGGGGATGGGCAAAAATGGGGAATACAAGTAGTCAGTTGTCTGCCCTACATACACAAACAAAGAGCATCAGGATATCTTAATGCATCTTGGAAATATAGACCTGTAAACACAGAGATACCATAGGCAGAAATGTCAACTATTAATATTTATGATGAATGTAAGCTTTACTTTTTGGTAGCTGATTAATAGGCAACTTTCCAAGTCAAATTCTGCCTGACAAAATACATACAGTTACACATGTTTTTTTTTTAATTTAGTGGCTAGTGTAATCTGCTCTGAGGAAAACAAGTGGGTTCAGACATCAGAATTCGATTTCTTTAGGGTCCAAGGTTCCTTGATGGATTTTGTATTATTAGCCCATACTCTTGTAATTAAGTCGGGGGCCACCACAGATGATCGTTGGGGCCACCATGGATTTGCCTCAAATCCAATATGGTGTCCAAAATCCAATATGGATGCCATAATACCATTTGATGGAGGTTAAATCACATGTAAATATGAATTTTGTATATAAGAGGCATTTTTTCAGAATTGTGTACAACAATCATGCCCATGAAGACTATTTTGGTGTAAATCAATTTTATTTTGAATCTAATATGGACAGCATGATTACACTCGAACACCTTTGCCTGCATATATTTATATTGTTTTGAATATGCTATTCTGTCTTTAAAAGGGTTTCATGAGGCTCTTTGTTTTTGAATATGTGAAGCCAAATAGCTTTTCAATGTGTGTTAATATTTACAGTGCATTCGGAAAGTATTCAGACCATTTCACTTTTTCCACATTTTGTTACGTTACTGCCTTATTCTAAAATGTATTCAATTGTTTTTTTCCCCTCATCAATCTACACACAATACCCCATAATGACAAAGCAAAAACTGGTTTTTAGAAATGTTTGCTTAGTTAATAAATATCAAATATGCATAAGTATTCAGACCCTTTACTCAGTACTTTGTTGAAGCACCTTTGGCAGCGATTACAGCCTAGAGACTTCTTGGGTATGAAACTACAAGCTTGGCACACCTGTATTTGGGGAGTTTCTAGTATTCTTCTCTGCAGATCCTCTCAAGCTCTGTCAGGTTGAATAGGGAGCTTCGCTGCACAGCTATTTTCAGGTCTCTCCAGAGAGATTCGATCAGTTTCATGTCCTGGCTCTGGCTGGGCCACTCATGGACATTCAGAGACCTGTCCCAAAGCCACTCCTGCGTTGTCTTGGCTGTGTGCTTAGGGTCATTGTCCTGTTGGAAGCTGAACCTTTGCCCCAGTCTAAGGTCCTGAGTGCTCTGGAGTAGGTTTTCATCAATGATCACTCTGTACTTTGCTCCGTTCCTCTTTCCCTCGATCCTGTCTACTCTCCCACTCCCTGCTGCTGAAAAACATCCCCACAGCATGATGCTGCCACCACCATGCTTCACCGTAGGGATGGTGCCAGGTTTCCTCCAGACGTGACGCTTGGCATTCAGGCCAAAGAGTTAAATCTTGGTTACATCAGACCAGAGAATGTTGTTTATCGTGGTCAGAGTCCTTTAGGTGCCTTTTGGCAAACTCCAAGCGGGCTGTCATGTGCCTTTTACTGAGGAGTGGCTTACGTCTGGCCTGATTGGTAGAGTGCTGCAGAGATGGTTGTCCTTCTGGAAGGTTCTCCCATCTCCACAGAGGATCATCAGGTGACCATCAGGTTTTTGGTCACCTCCCTGACCAAGGCCCTTCTCCCCCGGTTGCTCAGTTTGGAAGAGTCTTGGTGGTTCTAAACTTGTTCATTTAAAAATGATGGAGACCACTGTGTTCTTGGGGAACTTCAATGCTGCAGAAGCTCTATGGACAATTCCTTCGACCTCATGGCTTGGTTTTTGCTCTGACATGCATTGTCAACTGTGGGACCTTTATATAGACAGTGTTGTGCCTTTCCAAATCATGTCCAATCAATTTAATTTACCACAGGTGTTTTCCAATCAAGTTGTAGAAACATCTCAAGGATGATCAATGGAAACAGGAAGCACCTGAGCTCCATTTCGAGTCTCATAGCAAAGGGTCTGAATACTTATGTAAATAAGGTATATTTTTTATACAGTTGCTAATATTTCTAAAACCTGTTTTCGCTTTGTCATGATGTTGTATTGTGTGTAGATTGATGAGAAAAACAAACAATTTAATCCATTTTAGAATAAGGTTGTAACGTAACAAAATGTGGAAAAAGTAAAGGGGTCTGAATACTTTCCGAATGCACTGTATCAGCAGCAAATAATTTGACCGCACGCCTTGGGGGTTGATACCATTCTCTTTTACGTTTTACTTGGTAAAAAGAAGCTGCTATGTGGGACTCTTTTATTGATTATTACTCTTACTAATCACAGTTATTGTAAAGGAAACGAAAGCATGCTACATGTTGCAATAGGCCTTTTAGTATAATGCAAAACATATCCTTGACTCTTTCCAACTTGATGAGCGGGAAACCAACGATGCCAGTCAGCCTGCACAGCCGGCCCATCGAAACTACACCTAAACTATACCGAAACTAATTTCACACATGATAAGAGTTAGCCTATAGATAAGATTAAATTGACAATAATCTGATGAGTGACACTATTAGGTCTATCAGTTGTCAAATTGTACATAAAAAGATGGGCACATCTTGTAATATACAGATGCAGGGAAAGGATAATAATTTTATCAACTCCTCCTTCAGAGTCACATGCAGGTAAAACATTTTTATATGTATCAGAAAGAGCATGTTCTGCAGTTTCTATTACACTAACCTTTGTCAAATAACACTTATAATTGAAGAGGTGCAGCTCTATTTTCAAATTTAACTTTTTCCAAGAATATCCATGCTGTCCATGCATTCAGCACATGACCACTCGTGCAGCAGCATTGCTCTGGCTACTAAGCAAAAATGTGTAACATAATAAACTTAAAACTAGATGGTAACTTTACAAGTGAAGTTATGGGGCTTGCTAAAGCTCTTTTAAAAGTTTTTTTGTGGTAGTGAAAGAAGTTTAAAAAGTTGCACTTTGATTATATTATTGAAATAGTGAAATCATTTTAAATTCCCATCGATAGTCAGTAGATTTGGTCAGAAATTGTGGTCAGTAGTAGTGGTCAGTAGTTATGCGGTTCAGTAGTTATAGTCTGTAGTTGTGTGGTTCAGTTGTTGTGGTCACTCTTCACTCTCCTCATAATTTTTGCCATCTGTGTCTGTGAGTATCCTAGCAACGGCTCCGTTTTGGAATCTCAATGACACAGAGAGCTGTTGCTACAAAGAGAGCAGGCGATGGGTAACTAAAACTGCTCTATCTAGAGATTGGTACACACGATTTCTAATCCAATTTTGGATTTGACAATTAGAGAAGTAGCGGAAGATATCACACATTTGAAAAAATGTCCCTTAACTTATTGTGTTAGTGGTCAAAACTGCAGTTTTTGGGAAAAGTTGGAAGAAGATGTGGTAATGCAGTTACTAAAACAGCTGTACTGTAAGTTCTGTAGTGAATATTTTGATTCCGTGAACAGATATGAATAGCAGAGAAGTAGACAAATATTGTTGGGGTAGTGGTCGAAATGGCAATTGTTTGCAAAATGTTACAGAAAATGTTGTTGATGCAGTTACTTAAACTGCTGTAACTTTTTATCCGAATATAATTTTTTGTTCAAATGCCAGATTTGAGTACCAGAGAACGCTCTAACTTTTTGTCTAAATTGTTGCAAAGTGGAATAATTAGCTGATTTGTGTCAAAAGTTGCATGATTTCACTTAGAGAATGGCAGTTTGAAGTGAGGATGTCACAATGGGGATATTTAGAATCTGGATAAAATGCCATGATAGTGGATTTAGGCCAAAAAACGGACTAAAAGTTTAATAACGTAAAAAGTATAACAGATATCAAGTATAACAGATATCAAAAAGTTGTATACAAACAACTCGAGTGAGACCATTCCGGACGTTTTGAACATTGAATGGCGTTGAGTACCAGAGAACGCTCTAACTTTTTGTCTAAATTGTTGCAAAGTGGAATAATTAGCTGATTTGTGTCAAAAGTTGCATGATTTCACTTAGAGAATGGCAGTTTGAAGTGAGGATGTCACAATGGGGATATTTAGAATCTGGATAAAATGCCATGATAGTGGATTTAGGCCAAAAAACGGACTAAAAGTTTAATAACGTAAAAAGTATAACAGATATCAAGTATAACAGATATCAAAAAGTTGTATACAAACAACTCGAGTGAGACCATTCCGGACGTTTTGAACATTGAATGGCGTTTCTAGCTTAAACTGTGTAGGAGGAGTAGCGTGCGGAAGAAGAAGAAGAATAATAAGAAGAAGTATGTCGAATATCTAAGCTGGGGCGCTTGCTGCGCAAGCCCCACAATTAAAATATGCTATTTATTTATGCAATTCATCCTTTACAATTGTTCATGCACTGGTGCTTATGTTTAGGAATACAGCAAATAATTTAACCTGTGCACCTGGCTGGTTATATTATTATTATATTTTTCATTTCTACTTTGTCAAAAGAAGCTGTAACTGGACTTTATTAATTACTGTAACTCTATTACTAATTTAATCTACAGTGAGGGAAAAAAGTATTTGATCCCCTGCTGATTTTGTATGTTTGCCTACTGACAAAGATATGATCAGTCTATAATTTTAATGGTAGGTTTATTTGAACAGTGAGAGACAGAATAACAAACAAACAAAAAAAATCCAGAAAAATGCATGTCGAAAATGTTATTAATTGATTTGCATTTTAATGAGGGAAATAAGTATTTGACCCCTCTGCCAAACATGACTTAGTACTTGGTGGCAAAACCCTTGTTGACAGTCACAGAGGTCAGACGTTTCTTGTAGTTGGCACCAGGTTTGCACACATCTCAGGAAGGATTTTGTCCCACTCCTCTTTGCAGATCTTCTCCAAGTCATTAAGGTTTCGAGTCTGACAACTTGAACCTTCAGCTCCCTCCACAGATTTTCTATGGGATTAAGGTCTGGAGACTGGCCTGGCCACTCCTTTGTTGCCTTGGCCGTGTGTTTTGGGTCATTGTCATGCTGGAATACCCATCCACGACCCATTTTCAATGCCCTGGCTGAGGGAAGGAGGTTCTCACCCAAGATTTGACGGTACATGGCCCCGTCCATCGTCCCATTTGATATGGTGAAGTTGTCCTGTCCCCTTAGCAGAAAAACACCCCCAAAGCATAATGTTTCCACCTCCATGTTTGACGGTGGGGATGGTGTTCTTGGGGTCATAGGCAGCATTCCTCCTCCTCCAAACACGGCGAGTTGAGTTGATGCCAAAGAGCTCGATTTTGGTCTCATCTGACCACAACACTTTCACCCAGTTCTCCTCTGAATCATTCAGATGTTCATTGGCAAACTTCAGACGGGCCTGTATATGTGCTTTCTTGAGCAGGGGGACCTTGCGGGCGCTGCAGGATTTCAGTCCTTCACGGCGTAGTGTGTTACCAATTGTTTTCTTGGTGACTATGGTCCCAGCTGCCTTGAGATCATTGACAAGATCCTCCCGTGTAGTTCTGGGCTGATTCCTCACCGTTCTCATGATCATTGCAACTCCACGAGGTGAGATCTTGCATGGAGCCCCAGGCCGAGGGAGATTGACAGTTCTTTTGTGTTTCTTCCATTTGCAAATAATCGCACCAACTGTTGTCACCTTCTCACCAAGCTGCTTGGCGATGGTCTTGTAGCCCATTCCAGCCTTGTGTAGGTCTACAATCTTGTCCCTGATATCCTTGGAGAGCTCTTTGGTCTTGGCCATGGTGGAGAGTTTGGAATCTGATTGATTGATTGCTTCTGTGGACAGGTGTCTTTTATACAGGTAACAAACTGAGATTAGGAGCACTCCCTTTAAGAGTGTGCTCCTAATCTCAGCTCGTTACCTGTATAAAAGACACCTGGGAGCCAGAAATCTTTCTGATTGAGAGGGGTCAAATACTTATTTCCCTCATTAAAATACAAATCAATTTATAACATTTTTGACATGCGTTTTTCTGGATTTTTTTGTTGTTATTCTGTCTCTCACTGTTCAAATAAACCTACCATTCAAATTATAGATTGATAATTTCTTTGTCAGTGGGCAAACATACAAAATCAGCAGGGGATCAAATAATTTGTTTCCCTCACTGTACAAATAAAGTTGTTCAAATGGGTTACACTGTAATCTTTTTATTGTAAGGGAAACAAAAATAGGCTATAGGCCTCTGTTTTTTCTAGGACTTTTTAGAATTATACAAAACATATCCTTGACTTTTGTGGTTATTTTTTATTTATTTATATATTTCCACTAATTTCTTCATGCAATTAATCCTTTAAAATAGTTGATGCACTATTTATCAAGCGTTGGTGCTTATGTTTGCTGCATCTTGCGGGTTGATATGCATCTGATGCATATGCTAAAGGAGACGTCCGGCAACGTTCTCTAGCGGGTACTTATAGGCTGAAAGTCCAGATGGTTCTAGTGTTAATGGTATTGTGGCAGCCATATTGGATTTTGGACGCCATATTGGATTTGGAGTCAAATCACAGTTGGTACATCATTGCACACACAAAAATATATTTCACAGCGGTTTAAATGGTGCAATGATTCTCTATGCTTGTTTTGTCACATAAACTGAAATTAGGCGAACTTTTAGAATTTTAGCAAACAGGAAATGGCGGAGCAATTTCTGCATATTGCACCTTTAAATATAAAAGTGATTGCAATATGATTGAAATATGTAACCTATATAGCTATCTTATAATGCAGTCATCTCAGTTTTCATTAGACTTTCTTTTAAATCCTTAGTTTGTTTTTAACATTGCAAACTTCTTATTTGGATTCAACAAAGTCATTGGTGGACACAGAGAGACAGATAAACATTTTGATTCTGTTTTTAGTGGATATCTTCTGTGTGTAAAGTGAGGAGGGCAAAAAATAATCTAACAACGCACTTAGTTGTAGTCTGAGGCAGTTGTTAGATTACAAGCGTTTTCAAGTGCAACGTAAATTACGATGGTTTAGGGAAACGGCCTTTAAATTTTACGATGCTTCTATGAAGATTCTGACGATGAGCTTTGCCTTAAGATACTTTTGGCAAACCTGTCCCTGGTTAATAGCTCGGGTTGATGTGTAAGTACAGAGTATATAATTAATCATTATAATCTTGCTTTTGATGTCAGTCTAAACTACAGATTATCCTCATTGAGAAGCAAATAGTATGTATATATTTTTTTAACCAAATGTTTAACTCCATTACCCTCAGACTGTACTCATGACTAATGCTGTATCATGCCTCAGCTTCCCTGAACTGGTCTCTGGTTTGCCCACGTGTCCAGGAGGAGATTGAGACCCAGAAACAGCAGCATGAAGCCAGGGTAATGTCAATAAGGACAGAGGAGAAGCAGAAAATTGACAAAATGGCTGAAGACCTGGACCAAAAATGGACAGATGCTCTGAGGTAGGCCTTTATATCACTCAGTAGGTTATATTGTCCCTAAGCTATTGTGCATAGTGCAGATAAACAACTCAAATCTGGCCTATGTGGTAGTGAACTAAATAAATCAAAATTGTTTAGCATAATTTGATTTTAGCTAATCACATGACTGCAAGTCGTGGCTCCGAATCAGAGGTACACAAGATAGGGGAATGGGTTACGAGGTTCGGAGGGAGATTATTCATTAGAGATAAAGCCAAGGGGGAGGGGTTCGGAGGGAGATGATTGATTAGAGTTAATGACAATGGCTATAGCAGGTAGCCTAGCAGTTAAGAGCATTGGGCCAGTAACTGAAAGATTGCTGGTTCGAATCCCCGAGCCTGCAAGGTGGAAAAATCTGCCGTTCTGCCCTTGAGCAAGGCAGTTAACCCACAACAACTACTGCTTCCCGGGCATGATGACGTCGATTTAAGGCAGTCCCCTGCACCTCTCTGATCAGATGGGTTAAATGTGGAAGACACATTTCGGTTGAATACATTCAGTTGTGCAACTGACTAGGTATCCCCTTTCCCTATAGATTGGTACTTTTTCTATTGGACCAGGACTTTTCCCCACTCTTTCTATTGGGTTTACAAAGGCCATGTTTGACGTGTTGATCCAGTAGACCTTTCAAGCATTGGGTTGAAGTGTCTGGTGAACGAGATAACCAAGGATGGCTGTGCAACCCAGAATCTGAGATGTAGTGTTTCAGGCATCAGGATGATCAACGTCTCTCTTTCTCTCTCTCTCTCTCTCTCTACCCCTTCCTCCCCCTCACCCACTCTATAGGGAGGAGTTGAGGTTGCTGAAGGAGGAGTTGACAGAGGAATATGAGGCCGACAGACAGGCCTCTCTGTCCCAGCTGTCTCAGCAGAAGGAGCTGGAGTTGATGGCTGCCAGGGAGGGCTGGCAGAGGAAAGTGGAGGACCTGCTGGAACAGGTAGTGTCACGTTGTCATGATATTCAGGACCACAATACTTTTGAGTAAGGAAAGAAAACATGAAGCAGACTGAATTTCCCGAGGAAAACGGTTTTAATGTTAAAATGTGGATTTAGGTTGTCACGTTTGTAAATGTTTGAAGCTATAGCTCACACTATTTTATTTGAAGCAGGTTTATAAATGACAATGGAGTTCAGTCTGTGTCTTGTTTTCTTTTTTTGCCATGGAAAATTGAGTATCATATTATCACGATACTGGGATTGCGACAACACTACACCCTATTAAACACGTCACACACACTCACACACACTAACCTAGTTTCAGACTCCTAATTATCCTTACACCTCTTAAGATTCTAGCCACTTCCATGCCAGTCGGAAGAACTTAAGTGTTTTATCTCTAAACACTCAAAAGTTGCTTTCTCTACCGACTGTAGGATAAGAGGAACATGAGGTGTTAACCACTCTCGGTGGAGACCTGAATGCCAGTGTGTCCAGCCTGAGACATGCCAGTTTTATCTTATCTTGATTGCCCAGTCATATGGTCAGGTGCTGCAAAGAAGGATCTAGAAACACTGCACCCAGAAAAGTATTGCTCTTCACTGTAATCAGAGGGCTAATATCAATACTATGCATGACAGTCTCTCTTGGCTAAAAGTATCACTTCTTGTTTTTATAAGAAACATTCATTCCAAATTGTTTGCATAGTCAACTTACACACAGCACTGACACACATTTACCCCACCAGACATGTCACATTTCACAGTCCTCAAATCCAGAACAAGTTCAAGAAAACGTACAGTATTATATAGAATAGGGGTGTGAACGTTTAAATGTTAAAACGTTTAAACAAAGCTGGGATCCTTAATGTTAAGAAAAATCCCTAACTGAAAAACACTTTTTTTTTAAAAACTTAATTAAAATCACAGTGCAGTTATCACAAAACAAATTATTTTCTGTTTTATAGCTGATAGGATATAAAGGCCTGGGAAAGTTGTGTAATTCAAATAAAACGGAAATTAGGTGAACTATTAGAATTGTAGAAACTAGAAAAAAAGAAAAGAAAAAAAAACATCAATCTGTCAGCAAACACCCCCGCCTCCCCACCATCCCCCAACATCTTAGACTCTAAAGAATTAAAGGGATACTTCAGGATTTTGCCAATGAAGCCCTTTATCTACTTCCCCACAAGTGTCACGGGACTCATCTGAAGGTAACCGGTACCGGTTAAAAAAATGAATGGAAGTATGAAGGTAGTTTTGTGGCTACCCAAAAAGGGGTTAAATATGTGTACAAAAAAAGATATACAGTACCAGTCAAAAGTTTGGACACACCTACTAATTCCAGGGTTTTTCTTTATTTTTACTATTTTCTACATTGTAGAATAATAGTGAAGACATCAAAACTATGAAATTTACATTTACATTTACATTTTTGTCATTTAGCAGACGCTCTTATCCAGAGCGACTTACAGTTAGTGAATACATATTTTTTTATACTGGCCCCCCGTGGGAAATTACACCTATGGAATCATGTAGTAACCAAAAAAGTGTTAAACAAATCAAAATATATTTTATATTTGAGATTCTTCAAATAGCCACCCTTTGCCTTGATGACAGCTTTGCTTGCACACTCTTGGCATTCTCTCAACCAGGTTCATGAGATAGTCACCTGGAATGCATTTCAATTAACAGGTGTGCCTTGTTAAAAGTTAATTTGTGGAATTTATTTCCTTCTTAATGTGTTTGAGCCAATCAGTTGTATTGTGACAAGGTAGGGGAGGTATACAGAAGATAGCCCTATTTGGTAAAATACCAAGTGCATATTATGGCAAGAACAGCTCAAATCAGCAAAGAGAAACGACAGTCCATCATCACTTTAAGACATGAAGGTCAATCAATCCGGAAAATGTCAAGAACTTTGAAAGTTTCTTCAAGTGCAGCTGCAAAAACCATCAAGCGCTATGATGAAACTGGCTCTCATGAGGACCGCGACAGGAATGGAAGACCCAGAGTTAACTCTGCTGCAGAGGATAAGTTCATTAGAGTTACCAGCCTCAGAAATTGCAGCCCAAATAAATGCTTCACAGAGTTAAAGTAACAGACACATCTCAACATCAACTGTTCAGAGGGGACTGTGTGAATCAGGCCTTCGTGGTCGAATTGCTGCAAAGAAACCACTACTAAAGGACACCAATCAGAGGAAGAGATCTGCTTGGGCCAAGAAACACGAGCAATGGACATTAGACCGGTGGAAATTTGTATTTTGGTCTGGAGTCCAAATTTGAGATTTTTGGTTCCAACCACCGTGTCTTTGTGAGAAGCGGTGTGGGTGAACGGATGACCACCGCATGTGTATTTCCCACCTTAAAGCATGGAGGAGGAGGTGTTATGGTGTGGGGGTGCTTTGATGGTGACACTGTCTCTGATTTATTTAGAATATAAGCCACCCTTAACCAGCATGGGTACCACAGCATTCTACAGCAATACGCCATCCCATCTGGTTTGGGCTTAGGGGGACTATCATTTGTTTTTCAACAGGACAATGACCCAACACACCTCCAGGCTGTGTAAGGGCTATTCTACCAAGCAGGAGAGTGATGGAGTGCTGCATCAGATGACCTGGCCTCCACAATCCCCCGACCTCAACCCAATTGAGATGGTTTGGGATGAGTCGGACCGCAGAGTGAAGGAAAAGCAGCCAACAAGTGCTCAGCATATGTGGGAACTCCTTCAAGACTGTTGGAAAAGCATTCCAGGTGAAGCTGGTTGAGAGAATGCCAAGTGTGTGCAAAGCTGTCATCAAGGCAAAGGGTGGCTATTTGAAGATTCTAAAATGTAAAATATATTTGGATTTGTTTAACACCTTTTTGTTTACTACATGATTCCATATGTGTTATTTCATAGTTTTGCTGAGGAGTGGCTTCCGTCTGGCCACTCTACCATAAAGGCCTGATTGGTGGAGTGCTGCAGAGATGGTTGTCCTTCTGGAAGATTCTCCCATCTCCACAGAGGAACTCCGGAGCTCTGTCAGAGTGACCATCGGGTTCTCGGTCACCTCCCTGACAAAGGCCCTTCTCCCCGAGGGGCTCTACGGACAATTCCTTCGACCTCATGTGTTAGTTTTTGCTCTGCCATTCAATGTCAACTGTGGGATCTTATATAGACAGGTGTGTGCCTTTCCAAATCATGTCCAATCAATTGAATTTATCACAGGTGGACTCCAATCAACTTGTAGAAACATCTAAAGGATGATCAATGGAAACAGGATGCACATTTCGAGTCTCATAGCAAAGGGTCTGAATACGTATGTAAATAAGGTATTTTTAAATATTTATTTATACATTTGTAAAAATGTCGAAAAACACGTTTTTGCTTTGTCATTATGGGGTACTTTGTATATACAGCGGAGAGAACAAGTATTTGATACACTGCCGATTTTGCAGGTTTTCCTACTTACAAAGCATGTAGAGGTCTGTAATTTTTATCATAGGTACACTTCAACTGTGAGAGACAGAATGTAAAACAAAAATCCAGAAAATCACATTGTATGATTTTTAAGTAATTAATTTGCGTTTTATTGCATGACATAAGTATTTGATCACCTACCAACCAGTAAGAATTCCGGCTCTCACAGACCTGTTAGTTTTTCTTTAAGAAGCCCTCCTGTTCTCCACTCATTACCTGTATTAACTGCACCTGTTTGAACTCGTTACCTGTATAAAAACACCTGTCCACACACTCAATCAAACAGACTCCAACCTCTCCACAATGGCCAAGACCAGAGAGCTGTGTAAGGACATCATGGATAAAATTGTAGACCTGCACAAGGCTGGGATGGGCTACAGGACAATAGGTAAGCAGCTTGGTGAGAAGGCAACAACTGTTGGCGCAATTATTAGAAAATGGAAGAAGTTCAAGATGACAGTCAATCACCCTTGGTCTGGGGTTCCATGCAAGATCTCACCTCGTGGGGCATCAATGGTCATGAGGAAGGTGAGGGATCAGCCCAGAACTACACGGCAGGACCTGGTCAATGACCTGAAGAGAGCTGGGACCACAGTCTCAAAGAAAACCATTAGTAACACACTACGCCATCATGGATTAAAATCCTGCAGCACACGCAAGGTCCCCCTGCTCAAGCCAGCGCATGTCCAGGCCCGTCTGAAGTTTGCCAATGACCATCTGGATGATCCAGAGGAGGAATGGGAGAAGGTAATGTGGTCTGATGAGACACAAATAGAGCTTTTTGGTCTAAACTCCACTCGCTGTGTTTGGAGGAAGAAGAAGGATGAGTACAACCCCAAGAACACCATCCCAACCGTGAAACATGGAGGTGGAAACATCATTCTTTGGGGATGCTTTTCTGCAAAGGGGACAGGACGACTGCACCGTATTGAGGGGAGGATGGATGGGGCCATGTATCGCGAGATCTTGGCCAACAACCTCCTTCCCTCAGTAAGAGCATTGAAGATGGGTCGTGGCTGGGTCTTCCAGCATGACAACAACCCGAAACACACAGCCAGGGCATCTAAGGAGTGGCTCCGTAAGAAGCATCTCAAGGTCCTGGAGTGGCATAGCCAGTCTCCAGACCTGAACCCAATAGAACATCTTTGGAGGGAGCTGAAAGTCCGTATTGCCCAGCGACAGCCCCGAAACCTGATGGATCTGGAGAAGGTCTGTATGGAGGAGTGGGCCAAAATCCCTGCTGCAGTGTGTGCAAACCTGGTCAAGACCTACAGGAAACATATGATCTCTGTAATTGCAAACAAAGGTTTCTGTACCAAATATTAAATTCTGCTTTTCTGATGTATCAAATACTTATGTCATGCATTAAAATGCAAATTAATTACTTAAAAATCATACAATGTGATTTTCTGGATTTTTGTTTTAGATTCCGTCTCTCACAGTTGAAGTGTACCTATGATAAAAATGACAGACCTCTACATGCTTTGTAAGTAGGAAAACCTGCAAAATCAGCAGTGTATCAAATACTTGTTATTCCCACTGTATATGCACTGTGTATATATACAGTGGTGGAAAATAGTATTTAGTCAGCCACCAATTGTGCATGTTCTCCCACTTAAAAAGATGAGAGAGGCCTGTAATTTTCATCATAGGTACATGTCAACTATGACAGACAAAATGAGAAAAAAAAATCCAGAAAATCACATTGTAGGATCTTTAATGAATTTATTTGCAAATTATGGTGGAAAATAAGTATTTGGTCAATAACAAAAGTTTCTCAATTCTTTGTTATATACCCTTTGTTGGCAATGACACAGGTCAAACGTTTTCTGTAAGTCTTCACAAGGTTTTC